CTCAGCAGAGACGCCATGCCCCGCTCCCGGGCAGACACACGCGATGAAGCTCCTACCCAGGATGGACGTAGGCTAGAATCTTCCCGGTAAAACCGGTGTTCACAGATTATTAGAGATGGGTTGATCAGGATATCAGAATTAGCCAGTAAGGGCTAGAGCTAAAGGGCCAAGCAGTGTTTAATGAATACAGTTTGTGTGTTGTTATTTCGGGCATAAGCTAGCAGGCGGCCGGGGTGCTGGGGATGCAGCCCCGCCACTCCTATTACTACACTGGCCTAATGTACCATCTCCCCTTAGGCGTCTCTGAACCCATGTTGCCAATCAAATGAGTCATCTGTAGTAACTACCAGCAAAATAGATCAATTGCAATAGTGACAAGTCATTATTAAGAATTACTCGAACACAACACTGATATACCCTAATAGTTGATATCTAAGCTAGCTCTCCGTCAACTAATGTGGGCAGTTATGTCCCATGTGAATATGCTGGGCAAGGTTGGCTCACCTGATGCCACATTGTGGTGCCACATTTTGTCACACTCCACCACTCAGTAACAGTATACAGTTTAAAAATGTAGGACTTTTTATTTCTAGAATTTTCCATTTAATGTTTTTAGACTGTTGACCATGGATGATTGACACTGCAGAAAGTAAAACCGCAATAAGACTATTTTAACAGAGTACAGTGAGCAAACTCTAGTTTGGGGCAGACCTGCACATTTGTCTTTAACTGGTCTACCTATATTTAAAAGCTGTGTAAAATTCTGCCATCCAGTGTTGACATTTGTGGACCTAGTTCAAGCATCTAGTAAGTGGTCCTCTTCTAGACTGGATGGCATAGAGTGGGGGCCCAACAATTTCAGCCTCATCTCAGTCCCTAAACCAACTTGGTGGTAAAAGGAATAAAGTATATGCATTGGATTAAGCTAGTTCCCTTTATTGTAACAGGCACCCCAGACCCTAGGCCCCCAAACCTCAACACCATGTTCTGGAAAAGTCCTTAAATGTACTAACCTTGCCTTTTGGCTTTTTTTAGTTTTTTTTTTTTTTGGTTTTTTGAGACTTGTATGTATTATTAATTTCACGTAATACACTCTTAACTAAATCCCAATTTGTATGACTGGAAAATCCTCACTGGCTAAAAGCATTTTGAAATAAGTCTGCCATAGCAAACTCTATTTGGATTGTACTTTAGCTAGAGTATTTGGAAGGAGCAGACTGAGCCTGGACTCTTGCACATGCCCTTTGCCATGTTTCTTTGAAACTTACATAGGTTTCGTCTGTCAGGTTCCAAAACCATGACATGAGTCTCAGATCACTGGACTTAAAATGAGAAGCCACCTGTGACTTTAAATTGGAGCACCTACCTCTCCTGCTACTCATCGACCAATGAGGTACCCTGGGAGAAGAAACTGAGCTTGGGACTCAGTCTCCTCACTCAGGGTCCAGGACACACTACCCTTCCTCAGGCTGTCTGCAGGGTACTCTTGAAAAAGTCAGAGGAAAAGGGAGGTGATGGAGGAAGGTCATTGGTTAAAAAAATAAACTGCTTGGTTGGCCCTCATAGGTTAAAACATAGGTGGGAGGAGTAAACAGAACAGAATGCTGGGAGGAAGAGGAAGTGAGCTAAGACTCGACAGCTGTGCGCTCTGGAGGAGAGACACCATGCTCCCTTCTCCAGGGCGGACGTGAGAGCTCTGCTCTCTGAGACACATGCGAAGAAGCTCCGACCCAGGATGGACATAGGCTAGAATCTTCCCGGTAAGACCGGTGCTCACAGATTATTAGAGATGGGTTGATCTGGATACCAGAATTAGCCAGTAAGGGCTAGAGCTAAAGGGCCAAGCAGTGTTTAAAAGAATACAGTTTCCATGTAATTATTTCGGGTAAAGCTAGCTGTGCAGGCGGCCGGGTGCTGGGGACGCAGCCCCGCCGCTCTTATTACTACAGGGAGGAGTATACTAAAGGGGGGAGACATAAAAAATTATATACCCCAGCTGCAATAACATTTTTTCAGCAGCATTCCCAAACAAGGAAACCATTTGCATCCTCACGAAACACTACAGATGTACGAAGAAAGGTCCCTCTGAAAATTTCACTCCTGGCCCCATTATCATTACTTCCTATGTGCAAAGTAGTCTAGCTGCAGTAGGTTACTACACATTTATGTTTTGTCCGTCGAAGCTCAGCAGAGTAAAGCGGGATGCGAAAGGAAATAGAAATTCAAACTGTTCATTGCCTGGCGGCCTGCCAACTTTCTAAATGCTGCAAGGTGTCACTAACACACCTCTAAGGATGAAAAGTTTGGACGTTGTCTGGCTCTTCTTTCTATGTAGTATATATACTACAGGAAGTGCAAAATACAAGGGGATGGGAAAGGGCTGAACACGGGGCATGGACATGAGTCAAGAAACAGGGCATAAATCCAATTGTTTTCTAGGTCTAACTCTGCCATGGGCTTTTTGTTTTGGGTGATGGATAAGTGCATAAACATATTTGACAGCGAAAGCGTAAAATTTAACAGCAAGCGTTCAGAGCCGCCATTCTGAATGCCTGTTCTAGCTGTTGAGTTGTATAGACTTTGCATCTGGTTAATTTTTGTGTTATGTTTTTATTTACTTGCAAGTTTTTTTGATTAATAAGGTTTATTTTAAAAACCAACTAACAAACAAAGAACAACTTTGGAGTGCTTTCCTAGGTTTTATGTTATGTTTCACATAGTAAATTGTACTTGAATTCCTTGAGGCTCGCTGTCTGTACCAAACATTATTGTGTTAGTTATGCGCTAGTTAGGGATGTAATGACACATTTAACCATTGATGTTCCCCGATTTGAAAATTTCCCTTTAAAAATGGCGAATTAATGGAAAAGGTGTAAGGCCATATTATACAGGTCCATATTTCTACATTATATGGCGGCCAGACTTTGAGGCCACAGTTTGCTCCTGGCCACACAGAAGGTGGTCACCTAGCCTTTCCAGAGAAACTGACACCATCCTAAACAAAGAGTCAAGATAAGCCAATGCCACCTGCTTCTTCTTTGTAACTATTAAAGATTGCCTGGGGCAAAGGTGTTAATTCAGTCTACATGACAGAGCAGCCATAGTTGTGGACGTGACCTCAATCCCTGCTACCTAGGAAACAGAATGCTAATGAATTTCCCCTTCCCTTTATGTTTTGGTATAAAAGCTGTTTGGAGAATAAACACGGGTGAATTTTGAAGATGTGAACTCAGGATTTCATGAGGGATCACTGAGAACTCCCTCCCAATAAAATGATGTGAGTTGTGTCTTTATTCTCATGCCTCCCCGCTGGTCCGAGAGATAATTTATGTCGAGGCTGGACCTCGACAAAAGGAGGGCACAGGAAAATGAGAGGATTTTAATGAATGCAAATATAGATGCTTTGAAAGCATATTCTTTTTGGCAGAGAAGTAAGATGCGTGTCTCCATCAACACCCTAATTCTAATTCCCTAGAGTGTGTGATCTCCATTCTCTGCAAGCGGCTGACTAGCGTAGCACATCCATTAAGTATTGCTGCTCTTTGGGGAGTTTGCTTTCTTTCTCAAGCTTCTTATTAAATGTATTTGAGGAAGCTGCATACATGTCCCTTTTCAGCCTGTAATCTCGGAACTTGGGAGATGGAGTCAGAGTCAGGCAGATTTCTACAAGTTCAAGGCCAGCCTGTGGTCTACATAGTGAGTTCCAAATAAACCAGAGCTGGGTAGTAGGATCCTGTCTCAACACACACACACACACACACACACACACACACCACATACACACACACCCCTCAGCGCACCACACCATACAACAACAACAAACATTCTATTTTGATGGGCAGTGTTGGGTTCCACTTTCTGCTCCAGCTGAGTTCTTATTGGCATTAGAGTTCCTTTCAGAATTGCATAGGGTATTTATTGCCTCCACAATGACCCAGTTTCCCAATTGGCAGAAGATGTTCTGCTACAGGAAAGGAGGCGTGAAATCCCACACACCACCTTCTTCCTTTCCCTTCCTGTTTGCTTTTTCTCAGTTCCCAAGCCTTTCTTGGCTTGTATTTAACCTCCCTCTAAGAGCTGTTGGTCAGGGGCTGGGAAGTTATCTCAGAAGGTCATGGCTCTGGCTGAAACTTCATTCTGCCCTGAGATCCTCTGAGGGTCTCACTCCCATCCACCCCCCTACCCCCAGCCTGTTGGGAGCATTGATCCCCCAGATCCTGAATTTCTTGTAAACAACTTGTTTTCCTCTGCTCTGAGACAGCCTGCAGCTGCTCTGAGCACGAGATCCTCAGGAGTTCCTGATGGCAGGAGAGTGGTTTCTGGTGGGTTTGGCTGGGGCGTGGCTATCAGTTAAGGATCCCTATGAAAGTGGCTCTGGTATACATTAAAGGGGGCATTCTTGGGGCATTCTTGTTTCAAGGATGACCCGTGTCTCTGTCTGTCTGTTTTGGTGTGTTTCAATCTGCAGCCCCTTGCCCAGTTCACGAACTGTATGGTAGCGCATAGAGCACAAACGGGCACAGTGCGCTACACCAGCCCAGTGGACTTTGGAGCCTGGCTCCTGATCCTTTATTCTGCTTCCCAACCGGTGTCTATCATATTGTATCCTGCTTCTCTGTCACGACTAGATTTGGCTTTGGTCTGCGTTCTTTCTTATTTCCCAGGCTTTGCTTGACCCCTCATAGGTCTGCTGGTTCTCGTCACCACCCAAAGCTAAAGAAAAGAGGCACCTAAATCTTAATTATTGTGAACTCCCAAATAATGATGTCACTGGGCAAGTGGCTGAAGTCACTCTGGATAACCATCTCTGTTTTGTCATGAGTGGGTCGTCTCTAGGGTCTTAGATTTTAGGAATTCTAGGAACCCATAAACTTCTGTGCTTCATTCAATCCAACTGTCTTTAATTTAATTCTGTTTTGAGCTAATACCCCTGAGCACCGAGTACTATAGAATGCAGGCAGGCAGGTCTCTACCACCACTGCATAAGGAAAACTCGCAAAGATGATAACTGTGCCTCTTTATTCGCAGCACATCACTTACAGAACACGTAAGCCCCCCCCCCCCCCCCAGGTGTCCAGTCTTGTTTTATGACTGCGTGGCTGCGTTCCCAGCCTTTGCAGGCAGTTCCTCCACATAGGCAGCAGGAAAATGGCCTTTCTTCCCATTCAAAGAGCCAAACCACCATCCTTCTTCCTTCTTCTCATGTAGGGTCACAATGTCTCCTGCGAGGACACACACTGAGTTAAGACCAATGGCTCTGGGTAGCCTGAGCACATGCCACACAAAGTTGCTAAGAGCTTTGAAGAACAGTTCCGTACCCAAGAAACTGCTTTCTGCATTTGACTCGGAGGAAGCACAGTTTGCTGAGTGCTGTGCATGAAAAGCTGAGAATGTTAAAGAGAGTGAAATAATGAACTACCAAATGATGTTAAGGATTTGCATAAAATCAGAATGGTGGTAGAATCACACAGCTGGCTTCTCCTTTTATGTGCAGTGAACGGCTTGTCAACAAACTTGTTGACCATACCTTAAGGGTTATACATATTGGTGGCCATGAGAGTTGAGAATATTTCACTGGAAGTGTGTCTCTATTAATAGTTTTTCTTGAAATTGTGATAACTCCCTGTGTCACATTTGGCTTCAGTCTTTCTGGAGTTTCACGTAGAAAGCTAGCCTCCACTCATTAGTTTAGACGATTTAATAATAAAACATCAATTTGGAGATAATCATTTGAAGGAAAGGAGTAAAGCCAAACCCCTAACAGAGTTCTTATCTAATTTTTGGTTGCCCTTTAAAAAAGTAACCACGGTCTTAGTAACTGTAAACCTTGTGTGTGGGCCAGCACACTTTAGTTAAGCCTCTGGCTTGAAAGAACTCTTTTTCTCTCTCTGGGCATATTATTTGCTTATGAAGCATCCCCTAACGGTCTGTGCGTTGAAGGTTTAGTGCCCGGACAGTGGTGCTGTTGAGAGATAATTGGATATTGAGGCTGCTGACTTCGTTAATGCGTTCATATTGAATGGCTTGTTCAGTGATCTGTTTGCAGGAAGGTCACTGAAGGGCTTGCTTTAGAAGGTCAAGGTCATCCCTTCCCCTCTCTTCTCCTTTCCCCCATCCTCCTCCCACCTCCCAGCTGGCTGGCTATGGAGAATGGGGCAGCTTTCTTCCCTTGCTACAACATTCAACTCTCAAATTTTTGACCTCCTCACAGACCTGAAAGACAACCAAACAAACCAAATCCCTGGAAGCTAGGAGCCAAACTAGCTATTTTGTTTCCTCAGCTGTTATTTTTCAGGCATTTTGCCACAGCTTTGAAAAGCCGACTACCAGGCTGCTTCCCACACATCAAGGTAGAAACACCCACTTCCGGGACCAGCATCTGCTTTTCTTTAGCCCGGTTCTCACTGATGTCTCCTTCACTCTTCCCTGCCCAGCCCTGGTCTGGAGGGACAGGTGGCAGTACCATCCTATCTTCCCAATCATGGTTTTCTCTTTCTTCTCACAGGAGCTCATTCTGATTCTGAGTTCTTTCTCTCCAAAGAATTTACTCGGGCCAGTAGGCTATTTGGTGAAATGTAAGCAAATTCAGACAAACGACTTGAAATATTATTGTTACGGTCCCCCAGCCCCTGGTGCCATGTTTCATTGAAAAGAGCTACTTAAACTTTAAAATATAGGTGGGCTTTGCAACCAACAGAGAACTGATATAAATAAGATAATTAATGTAAACTTTGAAACATAAACTCGGGGACCTTTGATTTCTTGAGTAGTCTCTAAGAAATGTGTTTTTTTTCACTCTTAGAAAAGGAAAATGATAGCTAGAAGAAATCTGATTAGCCTGTGGTAATTAAATCTGACTAGCTTGTGGTAACTAGAATGTTCCCTCTAGCCGGGTGGTGGTGGTACACACACCTTTAATACCAGCACTCAGAGGCAGAGGCAAGCAGATTTCTGCGAGTTTGAGGTCAGACAGGTCTACAAAGACAGCCAAGGCCGTTACACAGAGCAACCCTGTCTTGAAAAAACAAAGAAAGAAAAGAAACATGAAATGACTGTTAGCTGTCATTTGCTACAACATTAATCTTGATTTTCTTTTTGTTCTTTCTTCTTCTTTTTTTCTTTTCTTTTTGTTTTTTTCTTTTTTCTTTTCTTTTTTTTTTTTTTTTTTGAGACAGGGTTTCTCTGTAATTTTGGAGCCCCTTCTGGAACTAGCTCTTGTAGGCCAGGGTGGCCTCGAACTCACAGAGATCCTCCTACCTCTGCCTCCCGAGTGCTTGGATTAAAGGCGTGCGCCACCACTGGCCGACTCTCCATCTTGATTTTCTATTGCTCTGGAAGCCATGGCCATGGATAATAAGCTTCTCTTATGGCATAATTCTTTTTCATGGGCACATTTCTAGGCCTCTGCCTTAGCTTGGACATCCAACCATAGAGACGTGCAGAAAGTGGAGGCTGGACATTTGTACTTAGGAGTATTAGTTTATATAATCTACTGGAAAACACTTCCCTGGGAAATACTCTGACACAAAGGGACCTGATCCTTTAGAGGGGCTCCAGGTTCTTTTCTGAGAAATGGGGAACAAACATTAACCTGGGCACCAATGGACTCAGACTCAAGAACTTTCTGTCATACTAAGGGAGCTATTACTTCACTTTTCTGTAATTTTCCCCTCTGAAAAACAAAAAGGTGGAGTTCTGTCTCCAGTGAATCCCCACGAGTGGCATCCTGCCCCAGTATAGCATTGTGGTTAAGGATGTGACTGAGTTCTGAGCTCAAATCCTCCACTGCTCCTGCTTGTGATTTTAGTCTAAGTACGGAACCTTTCTCTGTGACATTCTTCTCAGCTATAAAACAGGAATAAATAATGTCTGTCTCAGAGGGTTCTGTGAATAATAATTGAACAATATGCTCCCAACAGTGCCCGACACACACTTAGAAACATGAAATGACCTTGTGTAATTAAGGTTACACAAGCCTTAATTTCATGTACTTTGTCTCTATTCTGCAAAGAATGACTGAAAACCTCAGCCAGGAACAACTTAACGCTGTCCCTGAAAGACAAATTTTATTCGAAGGAAGCATCTCAACATGAAAAAAACAATTAGAATACATGAGAACGAGTCTTACCTTTTTCCAAATTCAGCTCATCATCTTGCCTGGCTTGGAAGGTATACAAGGCCTTGCAAAGATTGTTGCTGACTCGGGACCCAGAGGCTAGAGTTTGGGATGAAGCTGTAGTTACCATGGTGACTCAGTAGGCAAAATGAACACAATCAGAAATTCTTTGTTTAACAGTATGGTGCATAATTTGAATTTTCTGAAAAAAATTTATAATTTTATCTAATATTTCTTCCTTGGTCCAATAAGTATCTATAATATACCCAACATGTATATGAACTATGCATATCATATAATGAAGACTCAGATTATGCAGGAAATATTAATTCTGGAGGAAAATTACTGTTATTATACTAATAACAATGGCAATTTAAAATTATTTGCTTTCCGTGTGCACATGGTCGATAGCATTCGGTAATGCGTGTGGTAGCTGCAGTTTTTCTTTCTAAAACATGCCAGCTTTGCCATCCAGGTAGAGAAAGGGAAGAGTTGAGCGTGTGTGTCTCATTAGCCCTTGTTGATTAGGAAACTGTTTTCAAAAAATTCACTGGTGGCTTTTGAGTAGATTGTGCAACCTCAATGCCTTGGGTCTTACTAAAACTCTTTTTTAATAAAACAAACTGGAGAGCTGAGATTGTGGTGTGTAGCCGAGGGACAATGACCGTGTGTATGTATACATGTGTGCACATGTATATATGTACTTGCATGTGTATATATGTACGTGCACGTGTGCATACATAGCTTCTCATGTTATAAAATGATGTTCCCAGCCTGCACTCCTTCGTAAGGCCTTCCTACCTTTCCTTCTACGTTTGTACACAGAACTACAGACACTAACAAATTCATCACTCTTGGCTGAGAGGTAATTTCTTTTTAGTAAATATGGGTGAATGTAGCTTAGAAATCATATTTAAATATAGCGATGAACCCTACCCAGAGGACAAGCTCACGATTATTTTGGGCACTGGATTACCTGAAGGTGAAGAACTAGGGCTGTTCTGCCCGCCAGAAGGTGCCTTGCTCACAGTTTTCTCTAATCTCCTCGTCAAAAGCGGCCGGGATATTCTTACGTAAGTGTGAGAGTGTTCCTGTGCAAATAGAGTTTATATAAAAAGAAAGTCATTTTAAACAACCACGCTATAAATATCCATGTAACACTGTTCTCTGTATGTCAGTTCCTTGGGATTTATGTTTGTGGGTTTTTTTTTAAATGGGGATGATATATAAATAATCAAACTATTTCTAAGACCCCCTGTGTTTCAACTTTCTTTGTTCCAAAGGCAAAGTAGTTTCAGAACGAGATGATTACTGTATGTTATAGTCTGCATTTCCAGTTTGGACCTATATGTCTGGGCCTAATAGAAACATTCGCAGCAATTCTGGAAACCCAAGTTGAATGGGTCCCAATATAATGATTGAACCAATAAAATGATTGAGGAGAACGCATCTCTCCTCAGAAAGAATACTGTCCCTTCGTTGCTGGGTGTGTTTGGTTATACTTCCCTTCAGAATGTCACGAAACTAGCCACAAGCAGTAGCTGTCTGCGTAACAATTTCCAGAGTGTGGCCCTGCACGGACACCTGTGTGTGTGGTGTAGCCACGTTATGTACTGGGTTAAACATTTCCACTGTGCTAAGATGAACCTGAGGCTTGGCATACGATCTTACAGTCTAGGTCTGTTGGAATACCAACATTTCAAGTTAGTCGGAGGTTCCACGATAGCACATTGTAAAGCTGAAGTTAAGGACTGAAGAGAGAGGAGAAATCCTGAGTTCTTCATTTGAGCGACTGAGTCTCATGCCAAAGGACGGGTTTAGTTGGGTTTAGTGCTAGTGTGCTCAACAGAGATAAAAATAAGTTTATTTTAGTCACCAGAGCAAGAATTGGGGCACAGGTGGGTTTTCTGCTTTGACTTTCTGGTAAGCCCTTCTGCCTGGCCAGTCCAGCCAAGCCATCTCGGTGATCCCCACATTACCTTTTCCTTCCACTTAAAGATGCAGGCGCTACAGGGGTGGCTGGGTTTCGGCCTCTGCTCCAGGTCTGCTAACACTGATGACAGTTTGTAGGAGTTTGCTTGCAAAAGGTCTAGTTTCAAACTGTTCTGTAGACACATCGTGTGGCCATGGGAGGAAATGTCAAGAGAATGGGGCACAGCCGGTGAACAAAGGAATCTCAGGATCCCTTCCAAAGGGAAAGAGGTCTAGAAACACACACACTCAGCTCACATATGAATACACATGAAAAACACTGAAAGAACAAGACCCTTACCTCTCCAAGAACCCGGATACTACAAAATACTACGAAATCTGTCAATACCACCCGTGTCCCTCTCCCCCGAGGTGAAGTGTTCTGTGGGATTTGGCATCCACCACTTGAAGCCTCATGCTTGCTGATAGAGTCCCAAGCTCAGGAGTTAACTCGTCTCTTTACTTCTGTGTGAGCTAGGCTAGTTTGTGAGCAAATGACGCAAACGCGTGTCTAATGCTGGCAATGAGAGAAAAACTCAACACAAAGACAACCGAAGAGACGAGGGCCATGCTTTTTATGACTCTACTTTGGTAGATATCCTTTGCATTGAATTAGTTAATTGAACATTTTGTGCATTCACACAAAATATCCTACAGTGAGTTTTAAGACTTTCTGTAAACTATACCCACATGTTACTGCAGTAGTATTTCAGATCTCCACGCCCAAGCAAACAGAATGAGATCTTTCTTTTCACAGAAAATATTAGGGTCATGTCTGCAGTAGCCTTCCCACTAAAGGAAATCTATACTTAAAATACGCACGCACACACACACACACACACACACACACCCCACAAATTATAGTTGGCCGCATCTGCCGGTTTTCACCAAACCACTACTCAAACTCCCAAGTTGGTCAGAATTACTAGATAGCTACTTTCTCAGGAAAGTTAGGTTAGGTAAAAAAAAAGTTCTCTGGGTTCTTATATCCTTTAAGACATTACTAAAAATGTCCACCCTTCCTGAATTCTTCTTGTATTAACAGCAGCCCATGTCCCATCATGCAAACCACAGCACAAGCCCTCTTCCAGCCCCTTCTCACTCTCACCCAAAGTCCTCCCAAAGTTTGCTTCTAAAATACCTCCCTAGCCGGGCGGTGGTGGCGCACGCCTTTAATCCCAGCACTCGGGAGGCAGAGGCAGGTGGATCTCTGTGAGTTCGAGACCAGCCTGGTCTACAAGAGATAGTTCCAGGACAGGCTCCAAAACCACAGAGAAACCCTGTCTCGAAAAACCAAAAAAATAAAAAATAAAATAAAATACCTCCCTGTGGCTTTGGAGCCTGTCCTGGAACTAGCTCTGTAAACCAGGGTGGTCTCGAACTCACAGAGATCCGCCTGCCTCTGCCTCGTCTCGAAAAAAAATAAATAAAATAAAATAAAATACCTCCCTGCTTCCTCAGAGTCCTTTGCCACGCCCCCATACCCCCTTTGCCACGCCCCCATGCCCTCTTCCCGATTATAGCCATATCTTTTTTCTTGTTTTTAGAGGATTCTGATGTCAGTTGAAGGAAAAAATGGAAAGTAGAATCTTATTAATAACTTTAGCGGCCCCTCTTCATGATGAGGTTGCATCCTGATATGCTCAACATTAGCTGAGAACTGATGTAATGCGCCCAGCCTGCTGACCGCCCTCGCTTAGGCCGGCAGGCCTGAGGCCGCTCAGGATCTTACATTAGCTTACACTGGGCAAAATCACCCGGTGCAAAGACCATTTCATAACAGAGGACAGTCCCTCATAATGTACTGGACATTATACTGAAAGTAAAAAACAAAACGGCTATATGCATATACTATCCCACCACCGTCAAAGGCAAATAATCATCAAGTCGAACAAGCTGTCGATCAGCTTTTGAGCTCCTTCTCTGAGCACTGCGGTGGCATTTTCTGGATAACAATGCATCCTCAAAAGAGCTCTGTGGTATAGCATCCGTATTCCCATTTTGCAGAGGAGAAACAGTAACATTCCAGGTTTCTACGGCCAGCAAAGCTAATACCAAGAATCAGCTTCTGTGAATGGCAAGCTGGCGATTTGGTGATTCCGGGCACCTGACAGGGTCAAAGTGCCTCGGATTTCACTAACGGATGCTTCTATTTTGGAGACTTCTATTCAGGACACAATTGTGTCTCTCTTTTACAGAAAGTAAACATTTCTAGGTGATAGGAAGCTTCCACAGCCCTCCAACAACCCGTGCAGGAGCTGGCTATCTCAACTCTCCAACTCAATTGTTCTGATTCAGCAGGAAGGAGCCGCAAACAGGGTAAGCGGCTGAAAAATAGTCTAAAAATAACCCTCTCTTCAGGAAATGCACTCTGCAAACGTTTACCTCGTCCATTAAGGCCTCTGCGTCCTTCTGGCTCTTGGCATCAGCGAAGGAAGAGTTGCCGGAGAGTGTTTTAAGCTTCTGTTCCAGGCCTGGAAATGAAAGCCCATGCTAGGTCACCTTTCACCCAGTCCTAGTCAGGTGGTAACAGGGAACAGTCACCTTTAAAGAGATCCTGAAGGCTAGAAGTGATACACATGGGATGTGGTGCTGTTTCATTTGTATTTTAATAAGTAAAGCTTGCCCGAAGACCAGAATGCAACACAGCCACGCTAGTCGGCCATACAGGACAAGCAGTGGCGGCTCACACCTTTAATCCCAGCCGTCACACTAGTCTGCCACAGAGGCCGGGCAGTGGTGGTGCACACCTCTAATCCCAGCGCTAGAGAGGAATATGAGGTGGGATGAGACAGGAACTCGCTCCCTTTCAGTCTGAAGATTTCATAGAGGTAAGAGCTTGCTAGTGGCTTGGCTGCTTTGCTTTTCTGGTCTTCAGGTTGAACCCCAGTCTGTCTCTGGGTTTTTATTATTCGTGCTCCAGTGGGATTTCCTCAATGGAGGTGGATTGGGTGGGGGAAGGGCTTCTCTGTGTAGCTGTCATGGGAGATGACATCAATGGAGATGATTAGTGAACATACAGCTCATTGATTGCTACTCTTCTTGGATGAAATTTGAGAAATGCCGGCGCTTAAAGGATCTGACAGTATTTTTCAGGATAAGATTTTGAGTTTCCTTTGGCCTATTCCAATAATCCTCACATTTACATGATCCTGCTAGGTTCTTCCTCCGTGTTCCTTTTAGGCCTGCAGCATTTCCTATCTTGGGTTTCCTTGTCACGTCAAAAGAAACCCTGAGATCCATGCCAAGAAACTGGATTGTGAATGTGAGGATGTTTTGTTGTCTGTCCTGTCTTGGAATTAGTTCACGTGATATTTCACCTCTGACTCCCGAGTATAGGATTTGGCGTGAATAACTGTTATAACATTTCAAACATCAGTAAAAGGACAGAAATGAAACCCCCAAATCATGTCTAAATCCCACAAATTGTCTCTCCTCCCAGTCACTTTGAGAAACAAAGAAACTATACATTCCTAAAGCAGAACAGTGAACTACTTACAAAATTCTCATAAATTGACCAAAGTGTCCTTTTTATACTTTTTTGTCTTCCTTATTTTGGTGTTTTGAGATTGGGGTCTCACTCTATGCTGGACTGGCCTTCAAGTCCCCATGTAGCCCAGCCTGCGTTTCAGCCCACAGCAGTCTTATTGTCTCGACTTCCTGAGTCCTTACCCACACCTGACCTGACCCTAAGTTCTAGTGGTATTTCATTTGCATTCTAATAAATGAAGTTTGACTGAAGATCAGAGAGTAAATCAGCCACACTGCTCACCCTTATAGACCAGGCAGTGATGACACACACCTTTAATCCCAGTAGCCACACTAGTTTGCCATAGAAACCGGGCGATAGTGATACACACCTTAATCCCAGCAATAGAGAGGAATAGAAGACAGGAGGAGACAGCTCTCACACACAGTCTCATTCTGAGATTCCTGGAGGCAGGATCGCCATTTCATACTGGGGAAGAGATAGGAACCAGTGGCTGGCTGTTTTCCTTTTCTGACCTTCATGTTTAACCCCAATTTCTGTCTCTCGGTTTTTATTAATTGTGCTACACTAAGTTGTTTTTTAAATTTTTTTATTTATTGTGTGTGTGTATGTGTGCATGTGTGTGTGTAAGGCATGTGTGCATCTGTGCCCCAGAGCATAGTGGAGGTCAGAGGGCACCTTGGCAGAGCTCTTCCCCCTTCACCTTCACGTGGGTTCTAGGGATCCCCTCACACTGCCATGTTTTCAAGGCAAGTGTTCTTACCCACTGGGCCATCCCACCAGCCCCACACCTGACTTTAAATTTTTTTTCCTTTGATTCAACGCAACTTAGATTTAATATGCAGTTCTTTAAAGAGAGGATCCCCGCCCTGCTCCACAAAAGCAGATGAACCCTAGCTCTGAGTAAAGCTCCCGAGTGTGATGTAATACTGTTCTTTATCCTGCATGGAATGACATTGTCACATGCCAGGCATGACACCAGCGTGTGTGCCAGAGCACGAGGGGCAGAGACAGGACAAAAGTGTGAGGCCAGCCTGGTCTGCTCCATGGAGTGAGTTCCAGGCTAGCCACGGTTCTGGGGCATGAAAAATCACACACCTTCTTTGTCCCTTGAGGCCTTTTCAATGTCTTTTTGCAGTCTCAGCAATTTCGGTTTTATCAATGACTTCCGTCTCTCTTTATCCATTGTATTCTTTGGATCTTCTTCCTTTGGAAGGGGAAAAAAATAACTTAAGGGAAACAAATGAGAGTCACTACTTAGAATTTTTCTGAGACTCTCATTATATTTGATGGTTTTTACTCTTACACTATATTTGCTGGTTTTATTCATATTCATCATATTTGATGGTTTTTCAGTCTCACCAGAGAGGGCGAGATTGAAAAATGAAGGCAATATTTGGTTCACGCACATTGTTCTGTGTCTTAGGCCTGATTAATAAGGTCACATCCTGTTCACAATTCATCAGCACACAGCTGAGCATTCTATTTAATAAAGCAAATGATTCTTGGGGGAAGAGATTTTCTACGGTGACTTCAGCTTCTGGATAAATAAATTATTTGCCGGATACCTCATGCTTCATGACATAATTGATATTGATTCAAACTCAAGTCTTTTAATCATCCACTGCGGGACTCTGCATGCCTCAGGTTAGGACTGCGTCAGGAGCGGAGCGAACGTTCGCTGGATATTGCGCTGGCTAGCTATCAGGAGTTCTAGAGCTAGGGCGCATGCTCAGCCCCAGATGGTGCGCGCTACCTGGTTAGTTCCCCAAGCACAACGTTAGGAGAAGCAGCCACTCAAGGCCACACACGGGCACGCACCAAGGCTGTAGACTGGTGAGGTGAAAGGAGGATCAAGGGCATTCCGCAGGAGAAACAGTGCAAAGAAAGGAAAGAGCAAGAACGGTGGAAGAAAACGGGGCCTGAATCAGTTAGATGAGAGGTTAGTGCAGAAGCTGCTACGTTTATGCGGCTTCATTTTGCTTTGTTTCATCTTGAGACAGGATCTCACTATTTGGTTCAGTCTGTTGGGCTTGAACATATGGCAATCCTCCTGCCTCAGCCTCTCAAGTGCTGGTATTACAGGCATGAGTCACAAGACCTGGCGGTGTATAAGTTCTCATGTGGATTACTTCCGGGTTGGGTGAAATGAAAACAATCAAGCTGGTGGGTCAGGGGGTGGCTGAACATGAGTAAACAGCAACCCACAGAGGAAGGAGGGAGCTGCTCCGGGAGGGGGGAGAACCTGGCTTTAGAGAAACCTCCACGAAGCGGGGGTCACGCAGGATGTGGAATGAGAACATCATCCCCATAAAAATATGAGGTTGCTAAAAAGATTTTCTTTCTGTATCATACAAAGGAGGTTTCCCTGTGTCTTTATTACATCCATCTCTTACTCGGTGAGCTTGGCTGTGTTTCCCTCATCATACCTGTGACACCAAGATATGAAAGAAGGTTCAGGCTGAAGCCGGCAGGTATTCAGCCCCTAAACACAAAAATAATACTCCGACCCCAGATTCTCCACCACTGCTTCTTGGAGCTGCCTGGAGTAGAGGTCTCAACTGCTGTTGTACTGTTAGGTGAGACTTGACTAAGCCCTAAGGACACCTTACTCTAGTCCTAAGATCTCGTTGGAGGAATGCCATCACAGTGTGGCTCCCGCACCGGACCTTCTGGGGACACCTTGCATTTAAACGTTCATTACCAGGAATGCCGCCTCCTAGCACTTCAATAGAATCCTAGCCAAATGTCCCAGCATAGCCTTATTTTATTGACAAAGGTGACAGTGGCGTTTTAAAACTTTATTACGTTTATTTATTTACAAATGTTTGCGGAGGTCATAGGACAGCTTGTGGGAGTTGGTTCAGTCCTTCCTACATGTGGCTCTTTGGAACGAGCTTACAGGCAGGGCAGCGGTGCCTTCACTCTGCTGCTAGCTTGCCAGCCCCGTGGGGACATTGTGGCTACAGCTGATAAGCAAACATCAGGTGAGTTTTGCTGTCCATTTGCCCATCTGAGGGTTCGTGCAATGTTGGAGGAAGGAAAAGACACCTTTCATTTTCATCCCTGTTTTCTCCTTCCTTTCTGCTTTGAACAAACCAACTTGGGGATATGGGGTGTCTCCACATTCTGTCCTTCTTCCCCAAACACTGACCGGGAGAAGGGCAGTACCAAGAGAGGTGTGTCAGCTACAATCCTTCAGGTAGGGATTTTACAGAACTGACAAGTAGCTCCACACTGGTCACTGGCCTTCCACAGTAGGAGCTCAGATTACTCTCTGGTCTCGTTTGCTCCTGTCTGAGTAAATGTCACAGCACTGGATAAAAGCCAGTTCATACTGCCGATGACCGCGAGGTCACAGGCTGGAAGGCTTAGCTTTAAGGATAGCATGGCAATCCTCGTCAGTCATCTGAGACAGATTTAGCCACCATGGTTGAATTCTAGGGGACCCAAGTTTCTCAAAAAACATAAATTCCCCTGAACATGCCCATTAGAGATGAACCGCCCTAACTCCTGATGCTGCAACGGAACCCTCGAATCCCCCAGAATACTTTTATGTTATTGATAAGTTAGAGATAATGGAGGCATTTCATTGCCCTTTGGGAGAATGTGTCTAGAAATCCCTTTGGGAGGGGTGTCTAGAAATACCTGCTTAACCGAAGCTGGCAGGGAAGAGCACCCTCCCTTTTTATTCCCGCCGCCTCCCGCAGCACCCTTCACCTTTGCCGAGGTAGGAAAGAAAAGGCTCAATAAAGAAATAGCTGGCTGCTTGGCTGACTGTTGGGCGTGGGAGAAAGGTTAGTCTTGTCCAGAGTCAGAGCTCTTTTCTTCTCCCTTCTCCTTCCGTCCCTGTACTCTGAGCAGGGGTACTGGTTCTTGGCTCTGGGTCGGCTGTATATGGAATCCAGCTGGAGGGAATGAGTAGATTGGCTCAGCAGATCAGAGCCGGGTAAGAGCCCGGAGCGAGCTTGGAACCTGGATAAGTCCCAGCAGATAGCACAGGAAAGAGCAGAAGGCATCAACTCTTAGGTATAAGGTGTACAGCTCAGGGTTGTAAGCTTGACTGCCGTGTATGGGGAGGACCCTGGCCTTATTCACTCCTCAGCAGCCAAAAAAGAAAAGAAAAATTTAGGATCCTGGGGCCTGGCATTCCAAGCATGAAGGCCAGGAGAAGCTTGTGGGGGGTGGGGGGGAGGGAGAAGTTTGGTTTTGCTCTTTTTTGTTGTTTGGTTTAGATCAGCTAGCTCCTGGAGGTCAAAGGATTTACTCTGAAAAGCTGAATGCATAGCTCACACCTGTAATACAAACATCCAAAAGACTGAGGGCGAGCAACAGAAGCAAGAGGACTTGGTCTGCTGAGAGAAACTGGGCCACTTTCAGCAATAAACACCATCCTGTCGCAGGAACCCCCAAATGGCCTAAGAAGAATAAACACCATCCTGTAGCAGGAACCCCCAAATGGCCTAAGAAGAGGTCTCAGGCAGTTTGCTCCTAACTTTTCAAGGGTAGGAATCCTTAAAAAGTGCCAATTTTCCCCGTGCTCGGGACTTACATCTCTTCCCCTCTGGGTAAGGGTTGCGCTTTCTGACTTCTGACACACAGACCATGACAAGAGTCTCTGCTGGGACCAGTTACACAGAACTGTGCTTCCTCTATGAGTGTTATGGCCTGGGGTATCTTGAGTCACTCATCCAGAGGGAAGCAGGCTGCTATGTGTTGCCAGGTGAGAGATGGGAAATTCACATTGCAAAAATTAAATATGTGTGCTGGGTGGTGGTGGCACATGCTTTTAATCCCAGCACTCGGGAGGCAGAGACAGGTGGTGGATCTCTGTGAGTTCAAGGACATCCTGGTCTACAGAGTGAGTTCCAGGACAGACTCCAAAAGCTACAGAGAAACCCTATCTGGAAAAACAAAACAAAACAAAAAAAATTAAATGTGTGTGTGCACGCACACACACACACACACACACACACGCACGCACGTGCACACATACAGATTCAGAAAGTAGAGATTGAAAGGGAACGATGAGAGGGGAGGAAGAGGTGGGAGAATAAGGAGAGCAGAGGAACACATGTAGCCTGAAAGCAGAAGGGAAGTCTGCTTTGGAGGAGGTAGGAGAATAACAAGCATGATAAGGAAAAAGAAGGTAAGTCCATGGGGTAAAGGACAAATAAGAGCTAAGTATGCTGGCATCTATACATGTGTATATGTATATATGTATGTATGTGTGTAAATATATGTGTATATATGTGTGTAACTATATATGTATATATATACTGCAGTTGGGATGTATTGCATGAGAGAAGAATAAAAAAGATAAAAAGAAAACAGAAAAAGAAAAAAGAGAAACAAAGAAAGGAAGGAAGGAAGAAAGGAAGAAAGAGTCCCTCAAGCTGAAGTACTGAGAAGATTGACTTTCAGCAATGAGACATGAGGACTCTTCTTGTTAACGGACTAATGTCATTGTCATGGGAATGAGTTTGTTCTAGAAGCAAGTTCAATCCTTGCTCTCTCACCCATATGATTCATTTTTCTGTCTTGTTATGATGCATCAAAGAAGATCCTCAACAGACTCAGCCACCCAGGACGTCCCAGCCTCCAGAACCATAATCCACCTAAATTTCTGATCTCTGTTAGTTACCAAGTTTGTTGTATTCTGTTCTGGCAGCATGCAAGACCGACCGAGACAAAGACCCAACAAGATTCTCAAACTCAGCCAGCCTTTCAATGGAGTATTGCTGCAGTTGTAACCCACGGATTATTTTTTATGATTATTTATAACTCTATGGAAAAATAACGTTTTATTTACAAAAGGAGAGAGTTCCATCCAGGCATGATGACACATGCTTGTAATCCCAGTCCTTGGGAGGATGAAGCAGTGTGATCAAGAGTTCAAAGGTCAGCTGTGGGCTACAGGAGACTAGGTTTGGGGGTGAGGAAGAAGACATTTGCTTTAACATTGTTTTCACTTGACTTCTCAATGCACGGCCAAGGTGACCTGTGAAGGTCACTTCCTGTCGCTCCGTACTTACAAAGTAGTCAGTCAGTAGGAACTCAGATTTGTTCTCTGTAGACAGGATTGCAGTTTCTTCCATTAGAGCCTGGATATCTTTCTCAACATCAACCTTGCTGATGGCGCAGTGGATCTGTGTGTGGCACTGTAAAACCGAGCAGAGGAGAGTGGGGAGGGTGAGGAACCGTTTCCCTCCACCTTTTCCCCCTCCATCACACGCACCAGGAATGGACCCATCTCTGCTACTCACTGTGGTCAGCGTTTGTCCAAAAAGAGAGATGTGTTGGCTGTACTGGTTTAGATTATTACATAAAAGTTGAATCCTTTCCTTCTCTAGCTCCAGCATGCTCTGGAGAGAAAAAAAGAAAATGAGGAAAGATCAAGCATTTGCTCCACAGAGCTCGTCACCCCTCCCGCATCAGGAGATACCCTGAGCAAACTGTCCTGATTTGTCTTTCACTACGGTACATCCAAACTGCAGAGCAAGGAGAATCCCAGGGCACAGATCTGACTTGCTGTCTGTCCTAATACTGCCATTGAAGATGGATTTAATGCCTAAACTTTCCTATGTTCCTCTGCCTGCACACAGCATGGGGGCAGATGCTACAAGTTACCTGCTATCTGCAAAAAAGGAGAAAAAGAGAAATGAGGGCATTAAGATGCACCTTTGATGTTTTAGAAGAGACTAACTCCCAGGAAGACCCATCTCCGTCTCCTAGAAATGCTTCTAGACACCAAATACTTCCAAAATTGTTAACAATACAAGCAAGGCACACAAGAAGCAATGTTCATTCATTCTCTTCCGTTTCTGCTGCGCTGGCCTCAGGGAACTCACAGGGGATCTTGCAGGGGTTGCCTTTCCATTTGATCTGCTTTCAAACAGAAGGTGTATCCTATTTGACTCAGGTTATAGTAATTTGATGTTTGGGTATTGAAGAAGTAGTTACTTTGTTTGCTCCTTGTTTGTATCATGGTAAAGAAGTCTTGCCTTCTCCCCACCTCCTTTTTGGATTGGGGTATTTAAAGCGCACGCTGGCGGATTCAGAATTCACCGGGTCGCCCTCCCAACTCAATTCTGTGTCTCTGTCTAGTTCTTTTGTGTCTCTGTTCTTTCCTGCCTAACATTTCTAATCCACACATCCCCTACCCTAGAACGTACAAACCATTGAGGCTGGACCCCCAACAGATGTCACCCCAACACAGGACTCGACATATCAGTGTTTTGTCTGTACATATGTGTGTATGTCACGTGTGCCTGAGGACACACTGTGATTAACCACTGAATCATCTCTCCAGTCCCCATTCTCTAATCTTCAAGAAACCATATGATAAGAGTTCTCAATGCTAACCTTTACTAGACCTTGGGGATCAGAGTCTATCGACTAAAGGAAAGAACACGGCCTCCTCGTTTCATGCGGGGTAACAAAAATTCCACAGCTGCGTTTTTATGACTTTTAGCTAACAAGGGTGAATAAGGAAGTGAGCGCACGCTTGTTAGCCTTGTTAAGGTTATGCGGATAGCTTCGCTGGCTATTAACATTCTAGAGCAAGTAAGTTACTGGACCCTTGGCTCTCACTTGCTGGTTTGTGGCTTTCAGGATGGATGGAGAAGTTCAGCAACCGAGGCTAGCTGAAGTGATCAGGGGAGATGTATAGGCCATGTTGGAACAGTGCAGGCTGCAGAATAGATGCCCAGAGGACTGTGAGCTTTGAGAGAGATTGGCAGGTGTCTGGGTCAACATTCTCCACAGGTGGTTTCGATAAGGTCAAGGCTCTGGGAAAATCAGTGGGTACCGTTGCCCCAAGGAAGAAGGATGACTGGGTATCAAGGCTTTTGGTAAGCAGGCGGGGCGGCACAAAGTCAAAGGTTGCCCGTGGCTTGATCAGTTGGTGTTCCTTTTACATCCTTGTGCTATTATTTATCTGTTGGACATAGCCACCAACACTTGCAGTTTGAATTTACATTTTTAGCTGAGATAAGGTTTACATAATATAAGCAGCCTCATTTGAAAGGTACAGCTCGCTACTCTGAAGAACATCTGCTTTGCTCTGCCGCTCTCATCAGCACCATCTCCCTGCCACTTTTCATCTTGTAAAAGAGGAAACTCTATACCCGTGAAGTAATGACTGTCTGTCCCTGCTCCTCCCGGCCCCTGACAGTAGTGTTCTACTTTCTCCCTCTCTGAACTTGACCATTGTAGGTCTCAAGCAGGAAGAATCATCAAATGTATCTTTAAAGTCCACCCATGTTGTAGCTGTGTCTTTAAGGGGGAGTGATAATCCAGTGTATTGTATGCTATGATTTGTTTACTGGTATAAGATCATTTTAATGTGTCTTCAAATGGAAGCAGCCAAACAGTCAACCGTAACAAAACACCTCTGTACCAACAGGAATACAGATCCTCCCCCCATCCCCGACATTTTGATGGGAAGCCGGCGGTTGCGCCCTCATAGCCACGTGATTAGATAGCTACATCGTTTTTTGTTAGTCAAGAGAGCCCAGTGCCTCTGCAATTGCCAGTCTCTCCTGAGACTTCCCCTAAAATCACAGGCATCAGCAAATTGGATGTGACCAATTGTCCTCTGCCTTCCCGATAAAGAATTAAAGACACAGAGGAAAAGCCTATCGAACAGATTGGTAGATTTAAAATTTCTCCTAACAAACATGCAAGACAAATGCAGTTCATCGGTTTGGATCACCTTTAAAAGGAATAAAAAAGGTCCTTTTCCTACTTTTAAAAACCTAGGAATTGGTTGTTGCAGTCTAGAAATGCAGGCAAAGGATGCGGGGTGGGGAATAAAAGTCAGGCTTCGAACACACGACACTCTGGGGAGTCGCTCTTTCTTTACATCGATAAGCACAGAACCAAAGCATCAATCTGAGATTAGAATAACTGGTGTCCTTTTGTAGAGATGGGGATGTTTAACAGCTTTAATTACATTTCAGGGAAATCATTAAAATGATTTGTGTTTGCTCACCAGAAGAGGCAGAAATGAATTCCTCTGTGCAAAGGGGAAAAATCCATATCTCATTTAATGAGTTATTGCTTCCTGGCGTCTTGTTCTTTCTGTACAGAAATGGTTGATGGAGAGACAAGGCATTCTGGAGGGCCTCCAGCTGTTTGACAGCATGGGGGAAGGAAGCGTGGTCAGAGAGTTACCAAGGGATGGCAGATTGAGAGCCTGTCTGGGCTCCTACAATTCGCGTTCTTCAATTATTCTCTTCAGTTTCTGCTGCTCTGGCCTCAGGGAACTCACAGGGGATCTTGGAGGGGTTACATTTTCATTTGATCTGCTTTCAAACAGAAGATGTATCCTACTCTTTCCATAGCAGGGACTTCAAGCTACAGTATGCCTAGAAGTTACCTGGACCCTTCCTACTACCATCCAGAGGCTAATTTTAACAGGCACTCTGTGCTTTGAGACACTATCTTAAAGTCACACACACACACACACACACACACACACACACACACGCACGCACACGCATGCACACACACACACACTATACATTCTAAAGACTATTATAGTAACTGTTTTAGACATTTTTTAAAAGTTAGAACACATAGACAAAAGTGAAACAAAAATATTCAAGTTCTTACCAAGTAGAGTTGATCACTGTTTCATATGATTATGCTGGTTACTTTTGGTTTAGTTTGGTTTTGTCAACTTGCTAAAAGCTAGGGTCATCTTGCAAGAAAATGCGCCCATCCAATTAGTCTAGAGGCAAACCTTTGGGGGCATTTTCTTGATTACTGATAAAAGAGGGAAGACCCAGCCCACTGTAGGTGGTTTCACCCTTGTGGACGTAGTTCTGGTCTGTATAATGAAGCAAGCCTTAGAGAGAAAAACCATAAGCAGAGTTCCTCCATGGTCTCTGCCTGAGTTACTGCCTCCAGGTTTCTGTGGGTGCCCTCCAATGATGAATTATAACCTGTAAGCCAAATAAACTCTTTCCTCCTCAAGTTGCTTTTGGCCATTCTGTTTTATTATGGCAAGAGGAACCTTGCTGGGACAATGGAAATGTTTGTGTTGACTTGCAGAGTCCAGCAGAGCTGCGCCTCTATATCCGAAGTAGATTTTAGGACTGGAAGTGGTTATATTGGTTTCTCAGGAGTCATTCACAAGCGGAATGGCTGTATATTGCAGCCCTGCGCTATTCCCACGAGGCGTTCCATTTCCCTGGTTCAGCCCAGGTCTGGACACTCTCTGTTTACAGAGCTATCAACTCGATATGCATCAGGTGTGAGTTGAAACCTTTCTACGTGGATGTATAAATGATTTGTTTTTCCGTAATATCATTGTTTTGAGGCTAATTCCTATTTAATTATAGGCTTGGTTTATTTATAGCTGGAAATTGGCCTACTTTATAAATTAGAGCACATTTTAAGAGTTTTCTATGGACAGGCATGAAGACTGAGTGCAATGTTTTCTCACCGTCTAATTATGAACTATCTTGCAATAAACATTCTTGTACCTAGTATTGAAGTACAGGTTAAACCTTTCTTCAGGATGGATCCCGACAAGGAACTTCTATATTATGGGCAAAACCACTTTTCTGTTTTCTCAGATACTGTTAAATATCTCATTACAAAGCTTCAAGAGTTTTTATTTTCTAACATCCTTGCTAATACTAGATATTCTCACTCCCTAATTTTGACACATGACTGTCTCTTCATGTGCTTAGCTGTGATTTTGAGTTTTCCCTTTGCAATTTGTGTGTTCACATCTTTGCCTATCTTTGTCAATTTGACACAATTTATTCTTTTACAGGTACCATACCCACACACATACTTTTTTTTAAAATTATGTGTGTGGGTATGGTGCCTGCATGTATGCATATGAACCACACAAATGCAGTGACTGCAGAGACCCGAAGAGGGTGTCAGACTCACTGGGCCTGGAATCACAGATGACTGTGAACTGACATGCAGGTGCTGAGAATTGAACCAGGAGCCTCTGGAAGAGCAGCCAGTGCTCTTAACCACAGAGTAACCGCTCCATCCCAACAGAATTCAGAATTCCTCCTCTATGTATCTCTGTGTTACCAACAATCACTTTTAAGGTTCTGAGTTAGTATCTTATTCGTTGTTATATATTACTTGTTCAACAAAATGCCCAATGCAGAAAACTCCATACATGAACATGAGCCTGCTGAAATTCCATTCTGAATCTCTAACACCTAAGTCTTAATTTACATTCTACCTGGATAGAACTTCTTTCATGTTGGCTTAGACTCCACTGAGAATTAGGAGCAGAAACTCTGGCTAATGGTGCACATGAACTCTCACTGGTAATTGTGCTCATAGAGAGATGGAAACAAGGAGAGGGAAGGCGGACTGTCTAAAGCCATACTACAAGTGAGCATCAGAGCTAGGAGAGAAAGCAGATCTCGAGAACGCAGAGCCAATCAGAGCTAAGAAAGATGGCAGATCTCGTGAATACAGAGCCAATCTTTCTTCACTCCCAAGGTTACACAAACGACGTCGGGAGAGGAAAACTGAACTCCGGATGTACCTTGTAGCAGGTCTCCAGCGTGCTCTCCCATTTCAGTCTAGTAGAATAGCCGGCCAGGTTTTTTTGGTAGTAACTTTCATCTTCCTTTTCCAACTTCTCAGTGGATTTTTTCAGTTTGTTGAGGAGCTAAAGTCAAATATCAGAGTCACACAGTCATCGGCACATTTACAAGAGAGCTCTTGGAATCCCATCAATCACATGGGGCCCAGTGTTCCTCAGTTTCCGCTCCCTATAAATGATAGTTACCGCAGAAGACAAAATCTAGGTTTTTGGAGGGTTTTTTTTTTTGAAACTATTAAAGGACATTGAATGTTCTCTCAATAGACCTCCAGTATAATGCTTGAAGAAACTGAATTCTAACTGAATCCTCAAACATGAAGTGATCTGTCCACATCCCTCACATTAAGGCCAAATGACTGAATTTGACAGTTTACAAAGTAGGTTCGAGAACTCTACCTGCAATCTACTGGCACATCCTATGGCTTCCTCCTTCCTTCCCAGTGTGAGTAGAGACTTGTTGACCCATATAAATTTCAAACCTATTTCTATGATAGGGAACCAAACCGCCGTTATTCAACTAGAAGCAGAGTTTTGGAATGAGGCGCCATGGATCAGAGTCTCATTTCTGTTGCAGGAGAAGTGACTTCACTTTCATGTGCTACAGAGACTGTTTTGCATCTCTGATGGGGATGGCTGCGCCCACTTCACTGAGGGGTTGGGAGGATTCAATACGGTAATACACGTGAGATACAGAGCGCATCATGACCCTGTTACAACACTAAGCCTGAGATCCGTCCCCATGTTAGCTTCTCGTTGAAGACAGGCAGACATATGGTTTCCTTTCATTTTGCTCTCCAAGGGTCTGCCCCTCATAAGCAATCCCCTCCATGACATCTGCTTTCTGATTGCTAAGTCTTTGGGAAATCAAGGCAATGTCGAACTCCCCGAACCACAATTGCTGAAACGGCTAATGGAAATGTCCAGACAAGCAATTCCATTTCTGAGAGATGAGGATTTGGATTGCACGAATGATTCGCGAACAACTTTCACGTTCTTAGGTATGAACTGGTATTTATAAAGTAGCAGCTTTGGGGTTGGAGAGATGGCTCAGTGGCTAAGAGCACTGGCTGCTCTACCAGAGGTCCTGAGTTCAATTCCCAGCAACCACATGGTGGCTCACAACCATCTATAATGAGATCTGGCGCCCTCTTCTGGCATGCGGGGCATACACGGAGGAAGAATGTTGTATACATAATAAATAAATCTTTATAAATAAATAAATAAATAAATAAAGTAGCAACTTCTAGGGCCCCCACTAGAGATAGTCAGTCGTTAGCTAGCTCTGTAATGGGCTAGCTGCAGGTCCTCAGGTGGCTCTCACGCGCCCTCCTGGTGTTAGCAGTTTAGAAGTTTCAAGGACAGGCTTTTTTTATTATTATTATTTTATGACTGACCCTCTTTATGTTTAAGGACGTTTTGATTAATGTTACAATAATGGAGAACATCCATTCAAGAGGCTGAATACTAAGACTGTTCTCTTTATTATTCCAGACAATACACTGCTGCTCTGTGATGTATGACCTATACCAGGCACATTCAGCTTTGCATTTCAGGGGTAATGAGCCACATCTATCTGCAGAAACACGAGCTTGTGAATTTTAACCTGATAACAATATAGTGCCCTGATATGGGAAAGAATTGATGAGCCCCGAGGACCTAGAAAGAACAGTCAGAGACAATGGCAAACAGGAGGTAAGGTCAAGTCAGGGAAGGCCTTGCTGGGCCACGTATCAGAGGGTAACCCATATTGTGAAGTCACTAGACAGCTTTCAAAGACTTTTCAGAAGAGAATGAATGTAGATGACTTTAGTTTCAGGAAAGTCACCCTGCATGTGAGTGACAGTAAGAGCCAACACTAAAGGCAAAGGGACCCACTTGTTAGTTCCAGTAATCCAGGCAAATGATGAGTGTGCCTTGGTGAATGGTATCAGGGAGATGGGTATGTCAACAAATGGGGATGTCAACACATCCAAGAAGCAATTGGTTTAAGACTAGAAATGGAATGGTATGCCAGCTAAAGGTGTACAGAGACCCAGAAGATGCAGGGGGAAAAGACTTATCTTAGGTAGAGAGAGATGATTTCTAGAGGTGCCAGGAGACAGTTTAGAGACAGATATGGCTAGAGACATAAATTTAGGCATTTGTCCATGTAGAAATTAGAGTTGAAGCCTTGGGAGTATATACGTTGAGAATCTATTATTTATTGAGTGCCTGATACGGAGAATCTTTCGTTGGACTCTGGAGACACAACAATGAATTAAACAGATGGGCCCTGGGAAGAAATCCTCAGGTACAGCAATATATAAGGGCCAAGTGGGAAAAAATGACATCCATAAAGGAGGCAAAGCTAAAATATCCAGAGATGTAAGGGGACCAAGAATGGGATACTGATACAGTTAAGAGAAGAGACTGCCTGCAGAAGGGGAGATGGATGGTGTACTGTGCTTCTGAGAAGTTTGTGGGGTAGCTTGAGGGATGAACAGGGAAGTGGAGACAGAGCCCAGACAACCCTTCAAATAAATCTTAGTGTAGGAGAGAGAGAGAGGGGGGGGGAGAGAGAGAGAGAGGGAGAGAGGGAGAGAGAGAGAGGGAGAGAGAGGGAGAGAGAGAGAGAGAGAGAGAGGGAGGGAGAGAGGGGGAGAGAGAGAGAGAGAGAGAGAGAGGGAGGGAGAGAGAGAGAGAGAGGGAGAGAGGGAGAGAGAGAGAGGGAGAGAGAGGGAGAGAGAGAGAGAGAGAGAGAGAGGGAGAGAGAGAGAGAGAGAGAGAGAGGAATGGGTAGGGTCATAAAAACCTCCCTCTGACTCTTCCTGCTCTTCCAAGGCCTCCTGCATTGGAGGAAGTGGACGAGCGCCTCCAAATTTGAATGTTGATTTTTAACTTCTCTACATCATCGCATTAGAAATTGGAGTCTTTGGGAAGCGTCCCAAGAGTGGAACCCTCATGAATGAGATCAACGACCTTAGGAGAGGAACCCAGAGCTCTCTCCTTGCCTTATGAGGTTATGAAGAAATGACTGACGTCTTGGCCCTCACCAGAATCTGACCATGCTGGCTCCTGATCTCTAGAACCATGGCAATTCTGACTCTAAAGAAGTTCAGTAAGATGTACGCACGCACCGGGCAAGTGTTTGAGTGGCTTCCTTAAACTGGGTGACAGTTTTATTTGTGGGCTAGTTACAGTCATTTTACTTAGGTTTCTGTTTTAAAGGCTGTGAGAAATAGACCCTGTGGTGCCTGCTGCCCAGGCTATGGTAACTTCTTACAGCTGCTCACACAGACTATAATAGACCTGGGAATTCAGAAGACTGATGGGAAAAAGCATTGTGGGGCAGGAGGGGGTTGTCTAAGACAGGACAAGTCGGGTAATCACCAGAGGGTCTGGGAGGCAGGGGGCCATAGTCTGAGAATGTGGGATGAACTGGGCTCTGCCTTGCACATTTGCAATTAAAAGTAAAGATCTCAGCACTAGAACATGCTCAAGCCTTCCTACCCTCATCAGAAGCTATTCTTCCTTGATGCCAAGCAACAGCAGCAACAGAAAAACTGGTACACGTGAAGGGTGCATTTCTTCTTCGGTAGCAGCTTCCCTAGGGGTGAAAGCAGTGCCCTCCCCCACCTTCCTGCAGTGGGCCTGTGACCATGGCCTTTGCCTGTGATGACATCATAGATCCCTCCCACAGTCACTGCTTAAATTAGATCTTTGTTGGTGTTGGCTTTTTTTGTTTTGTTTTTAAGTGAACACCAGACCTAGCCTTCATTTCTCATGCACGTGGAAGTGCTCTATCATCAGCACTGCTGCTAGGCAGTTCTTCCTGTTCTCCTGCTTAGCAATCCCAGTTTTCTCTGGAAGCAGAAGCAAGCCTAGACCCCATCCTCTTCCCTCTTCCATCCTCCCCACCCACTCCCAGAGGGAAAAGAAAAATCTGGGTGATGTAGGAAGAAATGACAAGAACTTTCTTAAAAGTTCAAATTGCCAAGATGAATGGTGAAAAAGTAAATTTATATTTACTAGGATTTATTCCATACTTTTCCCTTGAGGTTATATTTTATTTGCATACTTACTTGATAATTATTTCCTAGTTATATGAACATATCATGGTTAGCTAATATTCTAAAATGCCATTTTATCTTTCTCTCATCTTATAAGTATTTCTACTTTTCATTTTATACTGCTCACAGCATATTAGTGTAATATGCAAAGTGTTATATATAGTAGCCCATAAACATAAAGGATATATATTTACTTATTTGGAGAGGGAGCTGAGAATTTTTAAAATTAAGAGTCTCTATCAAAATCGTGGACACCGCAAGTCTAATATGCCATGTCCACGATATATTTCAAAAATCTTATGTGAACCACAAGTGACTTTGAAATCCCTTTTCATACCTGACCAACCTACAGATCCCTACAGAGGATGAGCCTGCCAGTTCTCTATGTCTAGCAGAGGGCAGGAAGCCACATCTCTAAGCATCGTGCTCCTGCTACCAAGATGGCTCACCTTCTGCTTCTCCTTCTTGGACACAGATTGCTTGGAGCTTTCTACAAGGTGGAAAAGTGCTTCATGCTTCTTGGTACTCACCATTAATTTTTTCTTAGCCTAGAGACAGAAACATACAAGTAAGGGAAGGAAACAAAGCAGAAAGAGGCAGAAATGGCCATGTAGAGAAAAGTGCTTCCATTTTGGAATGAGCTCTGTTTGTGAATGACTGTGAGATTTGACTTCTTTGTTCCCATCCTTTATCTCAATATCTGCCCCAAATACTACAGCAGCAAATATTTTGATAAGGAACCACTGTACATTTTGTCACAATATTGGGTACTATATGCAAGAGAGTTAGACATTTGCTAATTGACCTTGAACTCACTCTTTTGGGGCCTTGGCTTCCCCAGCATTGGAAATGCAGGCTTGCACCACCAAGCCCAGACTGAGAGTTCAGACTACAAAATGAAACAATGTGTGTGTGTGTGTGTGTGTGTGTGTGTGTGTCAGGGAGGTCGAGGGAATCAGCGGTAATGCCTACGCCTACGTCCTTCCTTGAAACTTGTGAAGATGCTATGCGAGGAAGTTCAAGGCACAAGCCGCTTGTAGCCCCTCTTTTAGCTCAGTCACGTGCCTGATGATAAATGGGCGTGAGTCAAGAGTACTTGGTCCTTCAGAATTTGCAGTTTTATCTCCCAAGCAGGCTGCACGTCAGGACTGACAGGTGAAGCCTCTTCTTGCATTGAAATGAGCGAGCGAGGAAATGATTACAACTCAAGAATTCCATGTGATCTAATGACTTTGTCATTCTTCACAAAACAATAAAATCATTTGATTTAGAAAAACAACTTATTAGAAACTGGGGAATAATAGGAGGTGGGTTTTTTTTTGTTCTTTGAAACAAACAGTAAAAGAACATTGTCTCTAACCTTTGTTCTATTGTATTTGATCTATTGTTTCCTGTGAGAACTCAGAGTTTACAGATAATTGTTTTTTCAAAACAAACCTTTTTAAAAAAAATTCAGAAAATCAAAAGCAAATTTTTTAAAAAAAACAAGTGTTTGGATGTTTTTTTTGGAGGTTGAGATGGGTTCTCACTGTGACTCTCTTTATCAGTACATCTACCACAAGGGTAGGAACTTGTTTGTCTAGAATAGTTCTCATTTTGGTCTCTGGAGTCTTCGATATCAGCAGAAGCTTCAGAAACAAGCCTGAGGCCAGATGCTTCTGAGGACATTTCTGGTTATTTGGTATAGGCGGCTGTTTACTTGTGAAGGTTCATTGGGGTCATTAACAATAGGAGATGGAAAGGAAGGGTTCAACTCTTGGAATGCACGTCTTCTTCAAGGACATGATTGGGTTTTCTTAGCAGATTCCTCAGTCTCTCATCCTTCTGACTCAAAGCAACTCCTACACAGGATTATTCTAGACTAATCTTCTGTACATATGGACCTCATCTTCTGTTTCTGTAGCTTAAGAACCAGCAATGGAGTTCTCTAGCTTCTTACATCAAATCAAAACTTATCTAGAGGATTCGTGTGCTGTTTCCTGCGCTTGCTAAGTTTTCAAGTAATTGGAAATGAGGAGCGAGCCTTAGTGTAGCCCGTGTGCTCTTGTAGAATTAACACATGTGTTCCCTTTGACATCAGCACACTCCTTACCATGCCCTCTCCATAGCAAGGTAGAGATCACTAACACCCTGTACCAATGAAAAACCAAAGCAGTGTTTGTTACTTTGCCTACATGTCAAGCTCCACAGAGAGGCAGCCAATACAATACGACGGAAAAGAGCAATGACTCCAGAGCCCAAGAACTTCTAAGACTTCGTGGTTTAACCATTAACCAGTTTTAAACCCTTGGAAATAACCTTGACAGTCCAAAGTCACGTGATACCTTGGTTGGTACGACGACTGAACATACAAACAGGCAGCTCTCGGCACATAAGAAATGCCATGTAAGTATTAACCATAAACCATACCCATATTTCAAGTCATCCTCTTCTTTGGATTAGTTGAATGATGCATCTATATAATAACTCAGGTGAGTGATTTGCTTCAATAGGTGCATTGAAAAGCGTTAGGACACACCAGTACAAAAGTAAAGAAGTCCCATCCTCAGAAATGCATGTATGTGAAGGCTGTTTATGTAGACTTGCCTTGATTTGCTGATTCCAGTTGTTAATAACAAGATTTGCTGTCTTTTCAACTTCATTATCAAGCTATGGAAAAGAAAAACAGAATAAGAAATGTTCCTTTCTTACTTAGTCACTGTTATTAATTAAATATCTATGGATACCAAAACTCAGAGATCAAAGCCTATTCCTGCAGCATCATAGCATTTAGAGGTGGGACTCTGGGAAGTGGGAGGAGCATGAGAGTAGAGTCTCGTATGGACCTAAATTTGTGATGGTTTGGAGCCTCGTATGGATCTGAGTCTGGGGGGGTTTGAAGGAGAATGGCCTCATAGGCTCTTGCTTCTCGATGTCTGGTCCCTAGTTGGTGGAATGTTTGAGTACGCTTAGGTGGTGTGGCCTTGTTGGAGGAGTGTCACTGGGAGTGAACTTTGAAATTTCAAAAGCCCAAGCTAGGTCCTGGGTCTCTCTTTCTCCCTCCGTCCCTCTGAACAGGAAGGAGATAATGGGGACCGATGATTGAAGGATCATGATGTCAGCTACCCAATGTGTTGTAATAAATTATAATAGCACTGATTAATTTATGGTATTAAATGCAGTTATCATATTATTATATAGTATGTAAAGTATTTTATAATTAGTGAAATACAGACTTGCTTTGAGTTTTTCTAAAGTTGCTGGCAAAAGTAGACGATTATATTTATTTCAAGTAAATTTTGTCACTTTCTCTCTACTACCTTAGATAGAACATCCATGCTGGTGAAACACAAACATACACACACACACACACACACACACACACACACACAAACATTGATTCTAGCTAATGTGCAAAAGTAGACGATTATATTTATTTCAAGTAAATTTTGTCACTTTCTCTCTACTACCTTAGATAGAACATCCATTCTGGTGAAACACAAACATATATATATATATATATATATATATATATATATATATATACACACAAACATTGATTCTAGTTAATGTGTTTATATTTCATTTATTTCCGTTCCTCTTCCATCTGAGTTTTCCCAGATGGAAAACTTTAGCTCTTTAGACTTATAACCAACTTGACCCCACCCTCCACCTCCAAGATTATCTTTTCCTTTTGCAAGGATGGCCTGCTGAGCCTCAAGCACTTTGTTCCTGTGCTTGACCCTGAGCCTACCTCATGCGAGCACAGCAGCATTAGCAGCTACACTAGTTGTCTGGAAGCATTGTCTAAAGCGGCTAACCACTGTGATACATTGAGAAGAAGGGGGCAGAACACACAGTGAAATTGTCCTAGAAGAAAGGGTGCATGCCCGGAACAGAAGACATGCTCAAGACAGCCAGCTGTTCTTGAGAGGCATGCCTAATGCCTCCCTTTAGTCTTGAGACTATTCGAGAGTTGTAGCTATTATTACCAAATCTCACATTGGTAAGTAGAAAAGTATCTTTTGGAACAAATTATGCATATGGGACTTAGGTGGAGTTCAGTAATAGAGTTTACAAAATAGAATAGACCATTTAAAAAGAACCAAAAAAAATTGAAAATAACCTCTAATTTTACCGTCTCAAAGTAATTCTTGTTAACATTTTGGGAAGGATCTTCTAGCTGAGATCCTATTACTCATTAGATTTCTTTCATTTTGTATTTTCATTTAATATCATATGTGGAACTTGCTAGCCTAGAAGGCACAGAGATTCACCTTCCTCTACCTTACCAGGGTGTTTCACTTGTTTTTTAGGAACATTTTACTATGCCTAGGGCCTTGAGCATGCGTACATAGCAAGTGGTTATATATATTTGCCACTGATTTATACCCAGCCTTAGAAATCTTCCTTCTAAGAGGAAAGAGAAGCTCTGACTCACCGATTTTCTCTTCTTTTCTTGCATACTCAGGACCTGATGCGTTGGCTTTATTGCTTCCGACTCAATCGCTTTGCCAAGTTTTCTGGAAACAGAACATAAGGGTGCCCAGTCTCGTCCTGGGTTTCCATCCTCTGCCCGAATGCATTTCGGGTAGATGAGTTGCAAGTCATAGCTAATCTATTTCGTGCAGGTCTGAAGTGGAATATCGGCCCCCGCCCACTCTAAATGTGTGGCACCCCCCTTCAGAGTAAGGGCAAAGGTGTGGGCGTGGGGTGGTGGAAATGGGTACGGGACCAGCATTACGGGAAGTACTCACTGATGCAGGTCTGCCGCCGATTTCATGCTCTCTGAGGCCCAGGCCCAGGCAGTGCTGAGACAGCTAGAGACACAAATGGGGGTGTGGGTGTCAATTACTAGTGAGCGCTGAGAAATCAAGCATGACAGTCCACAAACTGCCTCCCCTCATATTCATTCCCTTGCTGGAGCTTCAATTTCTCTGTGAGATTAAATTCAGCCAGTATATTTATTTGCACCACAGACATTATACACACTGCTTTTTCCCACTTAGATTTTCATCTTCTATTTTATCTATGCAGAAAATCAGGGAGATAAAGTGGCCAAGGAAAGGAACAGGTGAGGGAGAGGAATTTGAAAGACCCTCACAGAAAAGCTTTTCAAGTCCCTCACTTTACAGATAAATAAACCAAGCCTTAGAGGATGTAAGTGACACGGGATTTGAGCCCAAGTCCCTGGCTCATTGTGCGTGCTGATCTTGGGGTTGGAGTCCAAATCCTGCACAGTCTTAAAAATACAGCCTCACATCTTTCCCGGTCCCGGAGGCAGATGGAGGACAAGGAAGCCTGATGTTCTCTTCTCCCATAGCAGGGGGTCAAGCTCTTAGTTATCTGTCAGGCGTCCTTGGAAGTCAGGACAAATAGTCTTCTTAGTTAACTGCAGGGACAGAGCCCATGCCACTTTTGATGGAGAGGAAGGGAGGAAGGGGCATCCCTGCCGGAATCAGACTGGAGCAGAAGTGTGCCTCCAGTGGCCTAGTTCGCATCCTGCCCTGGGACAAAGGAAAACCAGACCAGAGGCCCGGGTTTCGACAATCTAAACCTGCATCAGAGAGTGCCTACTGTGTGTTTCTAGTGCAGGAAACCACAGGAAGGAGAAAACTAATCTACATTCACATGATGGGGGTCAGTGGTTGTGAGGGCGTGGACGCAAACAGGAAGAAGCGACTTGGGGTGTGCTGAAAATGTCTGACTTTGGTTGTGGTTAGTTAGGTAGTACACACATCTGTTAAACTGGATGGACCAAACCCTATACTTAAAATAACTGCCGCTGGATGAAGTGGCTCCTCATCCCCATAATCCCAAGCAACTGGAATGTGGAGGCAGGAGGATCAGGTTATCTGAGTTGACATAAAGAATTTGCGATCAGCTTGGGCTACAGGCGACACTAACTCCAACAGCAAATGAGTGTTTACTATTTTGTGTAAATTAACCCAAATATAATTGAATATAATTGTGTTTATTAAGGCTATGAGGAGCATTCATTAAAGAGACCCTCCCAGGTGATTGCACAGCCACTGGACAGCATGACAGGAAGTGTATCATGTGACCTCAGAGAGCCCAGAACACAGGTCTGAAAAGCAGACATCCCTGTCTCTGGTTTCCTTTGGGATCCCTGAAGACTCACTTGGCTTTTCTGAGCCTCATCTAACTAACCTTATGAAATAAGACATTGGGATCTCTGTGTAAGCATCTAACACAGATTTTGACCTAAATTTTATCACTAAATACCACACTAGTGCTGGCTCGCTGGCCATTGTGAATGTGTCTGCCATTTTGAAGCTAAGGTTGCCATGGTGGGAACTGAATCATTAGGATCAAAATTAAAAGGCAATTCAGGGAGCTTCCCTCCTCATCCCATGGTCTGTTAAGCACGCTTGCATTACTGCATTTAATTCAGTAACTGTAGGGGATGGGTTTTATTTCTGTTTTTATGTTAGTATATTTATTATCATGATTTATGTTTCTTTCAAAAAAGGTCTTACACTACAGCCGCATTGGCCTGAAATTCTCTGTGTAGCCTAATCTGGCCTCAAACTCATGGCAATTCTCCTGCCTCAGCAGATTTACTTCAGCGCCATGGCATGTCAGCTTCATTTTCATCTTAAAGAGACATTTAGACAGAAGATGAGTTGTCCCGACCACTAGCCTGAAAAGTAGTGTAACTAGAGTTTAAACTGGGCTGTCTAAGCGGAAGTCGGTCTAAACCCAACCACACTACTGCACGGACTCGTTTGTAATCTACCAAGATATCACCCCAAAATAAAAGTGGAACAAGAACCGGAGCAGTTTCAAAGCAACTTGCTATTGTCACCATGGTGCCCGGGCAGGAGTGAGAAATTGGTCCTTTTTTCCCCCCTGAATTTTCCCTCTTTCATCATGAGCACGAGGACCCTCAGCAGGGACACTGCGAGTTCAGAGTCTCATCTGCACAGAGTAGTACAGAAGCAGCGTCACAGCAAGTTATCAATAATGGACAATTTTATCCTTGCGACATACTGTGTGCTTGCCCTCCCGTGCCGAGTCTTCCACACAGTTTGCTTCATTTATCATTCAGGCTGCACGTCACGCTACAACCCACGTACACACTCAAATGCGCACTCGTCTGCTCCCTGTACAGGAAGGCATGGGGGCACAGGGAGACCAAGATCCCTTGTCAAAAGTCACAGAATAGAGATAATACATAATTTACGCTTCCTGCCTCTAAGACCTTCTGGCTTCACACTCCTCCCTAGATGGCATTATCAAGCCAACTGTGGGCTCAGGAGCCATAAAAGGCCCAGGATGAGTCTAACAGCTCATTAACTGCATGATGGGAATTTTATTTCAGCTGTTCAGTCTCAAGTCCTCATCCGTAAGGAGGATAATCATAAGAACTTTCAAGGATTGTTGTGAGGATTAAATAGAAATATCCACTAAGCATTTGAGGCAGAGCCTGACCCAGAATAAATCCCCAAGATCTGGAAGCCATGCTTGGTAGGATTGTACCTGCTGTGCATATGGGAAAAAGCTGAGAGTGAGTTTTTTTTTCATTTTTATTGTTTTACAAAAGATTTTTGCCTTCCCTTTGTCATCATACTTACTTTTTCTTTGTGCTCTGTAGTGCTTTGCTCAGCTTGGCTGCCAGTTTCTGAAGTCCTTTGGCGTAGTTGATCTCCAGGTTGGCCCTATGAGCAAAGGACTTGTTATGTAGGATATAATGGTCAGAATTAGCAAGAACACACATAGACAAAGACACACACACGGAGTGGGGGAGGGAGGTATAGATAGATAGTAGATAGATAGATAGATAGATAGATAGATGGTAGATAGATAGATGGTAGATAGATAGATGGTAGAGAGATAGATGATAGGGAGATAGATGATAATATAGTTAGACAGATGATAGATAGATGGTAGATAGATAGATAGATAGATAGATAGATATACAAGTATACTCTCTCACACACATATACTCAGACACAGACACTCAGACACACAAATACACACACTCTGACACATAAAAGGTCAGGGTGAAAATGCAGTGTCTTCATGAGGAAGAGATATCTATTGATGTAAGGATTCTCTTGTCTTTTGGCAAACCCTTAAGAATATCAAAGAGGATCTCCAAGGAGAAAGTACTCAACTAAACTCTCTTTCCACCGATGCTATGGGTTGGATTGCGCCTCCCTCAAGGAGTACTGAACCCCAGCATCTCAGTTACTTTTTTATTGTGCGATCTGACCAATGCAATGTCAACAGAGAAGGCTTCATTTTGGCCCACAGTTTGAGCATACAGTCCACGGTGGTAGGGGCATACGGCAGTTGATCACACTGCGTCTGTAGTCACAAAGCAGATAGAGCGAACCCAGGTACTCAGCTCGTGTTCTCCTGTCTACTTGGTCCAGAACCCTAGCCTGTGAGATTGCGCAACATGCGTTGGTCTCTTCACCTCAATTAAACCCCTCTGACAACGCCATCATAGACATGCCCAGAGGTACATCTCCTGTGTGATTTTAGGTTCTGCCAGGTTGGCAATATTGACCACCACACACAGGCTATGTGAATGTGTCTTCTTTGGAACTAGGTTCTGTGAAGGAGATCAAGTTTAGACGAGGCCCAAACAGAATTTGACGTGTCCTTATAAACAGGGTGGGGAGGGAGAGGGGTACTGGACACAGAGATGGGCGTGTGCGTGGGAAAAGACCCAATGAACATGAAAGCGGGAACCAGAGGAAGATCTAGAAGCCAAGGCATTATCAGCAAATCTCCAGAAGCTGGGAGGGGACGTGAGACAGTATGAAGTGTCTTTGTGAGGAAGAGGTATCTAGCAGGAACCAAACCAATCAAACCAACGAAGCCTTAATCTCATCAGAGCTCCGGTCTCCTGAGCTATTACACAGGGAGTCTCGTCCTTCACACCACCCAGTCTCTGCCACTTCATTAGAATAAGCCTAGATGTCTGGTACAGCTACTAAGGTGCATAGTCATCACTAAACCCATCAGCTCGAAGTCCTAAGTAGAAGCTAGAAATAAAATGATACGTATGATTGAGATAGCTGCGTGGTAGCTTCAGAGGGCGCCTGCTGCCTTTACCTCCCAAGGAACTGATTAGAGGCAGGTGCCCGGCTCAAGCTGCATTATGGTGGAAACCTGAGGGGCTCGTCCGTTACTTTCTATGCAGGGCAAGATAGCAGGAAATCATTGGTTCTTGGAGAGATCAAATTATCTCTTCTTAAAATTATTTTACCACTTCCTCGTTATAGGTTCATCTCTAGCTACAATGAGGTTATGTTCCTTATTCACCTCACCTCCCCACACACCCTCTTTTCCTTCTCCCCCCTCATCTGCTCTTCCTTTCTAAAAGATGACTTCTATCCACTTTAAGTTTTAAAAAAAATATATCTATTTGTTTGTACATAAGTGTGAGCACACCACAGTATACACTCAGAGCTCAGAGGACCACTCGAAGGAGTCAGTTCTCTTCCTCCACTGGTAGAGCCTGGGAATCAGAGTCAGGTCACCACCAAGTCCTTTGATGGTGATGAGTGCCTGAGCCACCCCTACAGAGCATTACCTCTGATGAATGCATAGTTTTTGACTCACAGTACTAGACACAAAACAAATAGTAAATATTAATTATTTGAGGATGATGGTGGTGGTGGTGATGATGATGATGGATTGTTAGGTATCCAGAGGGCAATAGCCCAGGGTGAAGAGTGCAGTCCTCTGTGCCATTGTCTCCCCATAAGGACTTCTAAGCCAAGACGGGGGATACTGACAGGGACAGCTTCTCCTTCACAATTCAATTTTACTTCTAGAATGTTCTCACAGGCTCTACGAAGGGGCTCAGAGGCCAAGTGAGAGAGGCAACTACCCCAAGGAAATACTCCTTTCCTTAGCATTAGTAACATCATTAGATTCATAGGGAAAGAAGGTGGAGTTTTGGTGTCAGGAGGAGGCTCTTTGCTTGATTGGCAGTTTCTAAGTCTGGCCGTCTCTGCTCCTGAACACCCACCTCTATGCATTCTCTTTCTTCTTTCCCCACCCCCTCTCCTCAATCTCAGGTTGACCTTGAACTTGATGTGTAGCTCGGGGTGACCTTGAATTCCTAATTTTCTTGCCTCAACCTTCTGGGTGCTGGGATTATAGGCGTGTACCACATTAGCTAACTCTCCCAGGCTTTCTGTCAAGAACCCACCTGAGGAGATTCATTAGTCAAGCCGGGATTTCTTGCGTAGTATCAGCGTCAGGGCAAATCTGTGAGTCTCCAAATTAAAAAGCCGTCTCCCACACATGACGATTATGTATCAAACAAATGCCCTCCGTACACGGAAGGGTGTCTACTTTGTGACTCCGCAGACACTTGACCTGTGCTGTTTATTCACAAAACAGCAACACCCACCCTTTATCGGGGCCGTTATACTATGCAAGGCACTATTGTAAGCATTGTAGCTCTTTCCTCCAAAAAATTATTGCCTTTATTTAGCATGGGGAGGGGACACCACAGCACAGGTTTGGAGGCCAGTGGACAGCTTGATGGATTTGGTTCTGTGATTTCGCCGTGTGGGTCTGAGAACCAAACTCAGGTTGTTAGACTTGGCAGCCTGCCCTTTACTCGCTGAGTCGTCTCTCTGGCTCATTTTTATTTGTGTTGAACCTACAATGACTTGTGTGATGTGGACACAATCTTTCTGACCATTTCCAGGAGGGAGCACCAGGCCTGGAGTTCGATTGGTTTCTCTGCCGAGAACACATGAGAGGGACGCGATACAGCTAGCTTCCAAATCCGAGCTACTTAACCATGCCCCTCCCCTGACTTAGATGTGGAGAATGGCTGTGGCTATTGCCAGGGGAGTCAGACAAAAGCGCATTTTAAAACTTCTAGAGCCACTCCAGTGTTAATTACGGCGTTGTGACTCACTGAAGCTCCCACGGTGTGGCCACTAGAAAGGCCACTGCCAGCTATCCCAGGGCACATGTTAAGACTCTCTGCTCCCGGGTCCTTTTCCGAGGCACTCGTGTATTGTAAATTGGTTGGGGAGTGGGGGGAATGATGGTCTGGCTAAGAGGCAATGCAGGAGGACTCCGGTCTCAAATACCATCAGGTTACTTGTTGAGACCAGGCTGAGTCAGACCCAGTGTCTGTGACCAGTCAAATCGTGTTATTTATCTCTCTGCTTGCAACTTATTAATGAGTCCCGAGGACTTTAGAATCAGCCAAACAGAGCAGGCTGTATCCATCCACTTTTGCCTCCTGATTTCTAGAGCCTACCTCTGGCAACCCAGAAGGAACTGCAATGGCAAACAGGGAGGAGGGGAGGGAGGACGTGGGATGGGATATTGTCCTTCAGGCCCTCAGTGGCTTTTACCTCAACAGATGTCCATGGCTAAATTCCTAGCCAATGACCAATTTCTTATCCAATGGCTGGGTTTGTCATTCTCATGGGAAGTCATGTTCTAAGAGACAAATATAATGATGTCTGTCATTTTTGTAAGTCTGAATGATTGTCTGTGTGTGAATGGAAGCACAGACCACCATGTGGTGTTCTGTGATGTATGTGTAGTGGCACACATTGTGTGTGTGTGTGTGTGTGTGTGGTGTGCTGTGTGTATATGCAGGCATCCTAAAAGGATACCCTTCAATCTTTTCAGGCTACCAAATAGACTGGACGTTGGCATTTTATTGATGCAGCACAGAGACTGGTTTCATATTCTCTCTCTCTCTCTCTCTCTCTCTCTCTCTCTCTCTCTCTCTCTCCTTCCCCCCTCTTTTATCCCCCAGGACAGGGCTTCTCTGAGCATCTTCTCTGTAGACCAGACCGGCCTCGAACTCAGAGATCTGCCTACTATTGCCTCCCAAGTGCTGGGCCTGCACAACCACAGCCCGGCACCATCACCCACTCTTTTGACGGGAGCTGCTTTATCACGTTCCCCAGTCACAAAGCAATACATGTGCAAAAGGAATCCAGAGGGGCAGAGCTAATCTCAAATCAGGTCTTGGAATTTTCTTTCTCTTGGGTAAAACAGCCCAAGGAAGAAGTCAGGAAGCACAGTGAACTCGATATTCTCACCCTCTCCCATCGTTCCCTTCCACTCTACAGACATGATTTCTAACATGAATGAAGAGGCTTGTCTAGGCCACGGCTTCTTCATGTGTGAAATTGATAGTGTGCATGTATATCCCGTCTGCTGGGATATATTTTAGCTCAAAATATTCCAGTGAATTTTAATGATTCTGAGCCAGGGAAAGGACACTTTGACTTTCAACCCATTTACGTTTTAGTTTCCCCTCAGCCTGCAAGGCAAGTCGATATAGTTTCATTACTAGTCATGAGAACCAACCAATAAGTGAAAAACCAGTGTTTGACCTAGATCTTAAAATAAACCACGCCCTTGGCACGGCGAAGGCTGTAAAATCCGTGCTCTCAGATCTGGTATTTTCAATGCAGCACAGGTTAAGCTGTGAGAATAGGTGGCTGTGTTCAGTTCAGAGGATCCCGCTGTAATAAACTTATGCAAAATCATTGTTTAAAGCCCTCTAGTTTCCTCTGTGTCTATAAAGAGTTCGTTGGAGCTGACTGAAGGTCTTCTCATGCTGAGGGAAGCAGACGACTGTGCTCTCCTCTGTAGGAATTAAGGATTTTAGTAATCTTAATATATTGTTCCCACATTGTCTTCCACCTCACAGTTTGAACCAGAACCAACTTATAGTCGGGGCTGGGTAAATGGATGTTTTCCCTTCAAGTCTTATCATTTTTCCCTTAAAAGGCAGCTACAGCTCTTCTTACAAATAAATTGTACGTAAAAGTTACCAGAAGCTGGTTGTCTGGTGCATGCCCATAATCCCAGCACTGTAAGGGCTGGGAGAAGAGAACCAAGCATTAAGTCCAACCTAGTCTACAAAGTGAGTTAGAGTTCAGCCTGGACTTCATAGAGAGCAAGATTCAAGTTCAAATAAACTCCACCCACTTCCTAAAGGTGACCAGAGACCTTGGGTGACTGTCCTGCAACTGTGTAGTTCCCCTATGTCACAAGAGCATCTGACTGGGAGTAGCGTGGATGGAGACAGAAATACAATCCACTTGCATCCTTCTTATTAAGATGCTCAAAGCTGCATCTTCTCAGAGGAACTGCTGTTCAAATCCAAGCAGAAATCTCTCAGCTTGCTGGCTGAGGCCAAGTCCTTATCTTTAATGCATCTGTTATGCGGAGAACTTGGAACAGAGAGTCCAGGATGTGGGGGATAAATGTATTTACTGGGCCATAACTGATTAGAAAAAAAAAGTAGAAACATATCAGGCAAATTGTGGGTGGGGGATGGGGAGAATAGAGACCTTTTACAACATTAGAAAGCAATTACCTGGCCTTGTCTCCTGGGTCATATGAGTTTGATTGTATTTGATTAGATAGGCGATGGGCAGCCCGCTGTCTTGCTAGGTAGTAAATTTTATACTCTCATTTGCCCCACCCGAGACTGCCCATTTAGAGTGAGGCACCAAGGTTTAATAATTAGACTCTAATTAAACATGACATCATAAGTTACTGGGTCAGGCTCCATGCACTAGGGGTTTGATTGACCTATTCTTGTCCTAGGTTACTATCCTGAAGCCCTGTAATTTCCACTGCGCACAAGGGCAGTTGGCTGAGGAGGGGGTTCGAGTATGTTGAAAAAAAAGGGATGGGGATTGTTTTTATATTTTGGGTCTTTGTTATCTCCAAGGTATTTTCTATTGTGACCTTGATGCTGTTTTCTTCCTTCCTTCCTTCCTTCCTTCCTTTCTTTCTTTTTTTTTTTGGAGACAGGGTTTCCCCATGTAGTTTTGGAGCCTGTCTTGGAACTCACTCTGTAGACCAGGCTGGCCTCAAACTCACAGAGATCTACCCACCGCTGCAGCTCTTATTACCTTTGTCTTATGAGGCTTTCCCACCTATGTCTAATGCAAATGCAATGTACCATTGATTTGTATGAAATACACCTGCACATTTAAGAGGAAACCGCCCTGGTAGCTGAGGGAAGACACTTAAGGAAAGATAATTGTACCCCTCTGTTTGGTTGTCAAACGGTTGAAACAATGCACCTCGAGAAACTGAAATTTCCCAAAATCTTAGACTGGAAACAAAAAGGCTATGACCCTGGTACCCACCAGAAGGGGTGCTTGTCCCCTTAAAATAGAGTTTTAGTTCAGACAATTCAGTTTGTTAGACCACAGTGCAGAACTAGAGCTGAGGCAGTGATGGGCCAGTGGTGGTCATGACCACGCCTTGACAAGAATGCTTAGTTCTGTGTACCTCTAGCCAGAAGTAGAAACTTCCAGCTCCACCTCGCGTCAGTCACCCTGGAGATGACCTTCTGGGTCACTGGATGTCCTTATTTGTATTCACTCTCCTCAAAGTAGCCAATAAATATCCTTTTTTTGCTTTGCACTGTTGCTTCTTTCTCCACCCCCACATGTGTGTGTGTTTACTCAAGTGTGCCACCGTGTGTGTGTGTGTGTGTGTGCGCGTGTGTGTGTGTGTGCAGGTCAGAGGACAGCTTTCAGAAATCAATTCTCTCCCGACTGTATGCTGGAGACAGGGTTCAGCTAGTTAGGTTCAGTGGTGAGCATTTTACCTGCTCAGCCACCTGACCAGCTCCGGTTTTGTTTTTGTTTGTTTGTTTTTGTTATTTTTGCTTTGTTTTGTTTTGCTCGAGCTACAACCTCACTACAACGCCTGGGTAGGCCTTGACCTTGCAATCCTCCTGCCTCAGTCTCCCAAGCCCTAGGATTATAGGCAAGCACCACTGCCTTAAACAAGAGCCAGCCTTTAGTTGTTTATAGGATTAGGGAAGTCACAGAACGAGGAAAGTGAAACTGAACTGGGCCAGGTGCACAGCAATCACTGGTTCTTGTGGACTAGTTTTGTGCAGTTGGTTCAAGAACAGGGGGAAAAGGTAGCGACCTCCGAATCACTTCACTTGGCCCCATCCAGGGCTATGATACAGCATCTATCTTTGCTAACTGACTCATAAGAATGTGGAGTAAAAGTACACCATGAGGAAACATCCATACATTAATAATGTATGTCCACTAGAAATGGTTCTCTGGATATGTATCCCTCAGGCTGGCTGCATAACTGGACAGTTGAGCCAACCCAGGGATCTGGCATCTTAAGTAGGAGGGGTCACTTCAAATGAACAATTATCAGGAGCCAGTCAATATCAAGTACCCCAGCAGTGGCATCTTGGTTGAGGGAAATAATTTGGCTGTTCCAGGTTAGCTTTACAAAATGTCTGTCATGTGGCCTTTCAGCATTATTTGAGGTCTTACTAAAGTGTTTATAGCCATCCTTCGCATTTAATGCTATGCAGCTTTTGACTCAGACATGTGTTGCAGTTTTGGCCTACAGCATCCGATAGATATTCAGATCCTAAACCTGGTCCATCAGGAAGTAAAACCACGAAGAGAGATATCTCTACTGCCCAAGGGTTCCACATTTGTCCCTTGAGGATATGGAGATGGCGGTTTTTACATACTGAGAGGGCAGGTGGTGGTCTTGGCAAGGAACCCCGAGGGAAACACAGGGAGGAAGCCAGGGCTGTGGCTGTAGCAGAAAGTGAAGAAGTGAGTGAACATCTAGAACGGAAGAGAGTGGTGAGATGGAGTCTTCTCGAGTCCTGTGAGTTCACCCTGGAGCCTCCTGTAGTTGTGGCCCATTTCTGCCTCCTGTCTTCATGACTGTCTATCTGGCACTAATTCTGAACTCTTGGACACCAAATAATCAAGACCACTATCTCAGTCATCTCCATGGCGAATCAGTATATAATTCTTTCTGTTTTTCGGGGAGAAGAGACTTATCTAAGCAAAGAGTTGGATTTATAGAATAGTTAGCTGATCTTATTTAAAAACAATTTCCTTTGAGACTAATAAAAATCATTTCTCATAGAAGAAACATTGTCTTAGATTACCCCGCCTCCCATTCTCTCTTGGAAAATCAAAGCAGCTTGACTATTAGAATAGAAATATATCTCACTTAAACTTCTATTTTCTTTTTTATTCCATTTGACAAACTCGCGTTTTTCTTCATAAAAACGTATTTAGAGCTCTCCTGGTCATTCATTGTTCTGATAAAACTAATGAGCTCTTTTGATATTGATTTGCTAATGAGGGATGCTCTTAACTCATGATCTCTTTTCTATATGACGCATATATAAAGTGTGCGTGAGTGCGCGGTGCTCCAGGGATTGAACCATGGTCTCACACCTGCTGCGCAAGCACTCGATCCCAGAGCTCCATGGCCAGCACTACAATATTTTAAAGTTGAAACTGTTTCCCTTTAAAACGCAACAACCTTTATTGGAAAAGTAGCTTTAGAATATTTATTATTAGAGATAGCTACTGTAGAGTCAAAGCCTAAATGCCCCCTTATAAGCCAACATTTTCCTCTGGTTCTTTCATTTTAAGCAGTGCGCTCCCTGTCCTTTATTGCCTGAGTTAACTGTGCTCAATTTAGCGCCACGGACAGCTTTGTTTACAGTCACACTTGGTATTAAGAGGAGATACTAATATTAAAAATGGTGGCTTCTCATCCACCCACCCATCCATCCATCCATCTATCCACCTACCCATCCACCCACAGACCCATCCATTCATCCATCCACCTATCCATCCACCCACCCACCTACCCATCCATCCATCCACCATCCATCCACCCATCCACCACACACCCATCCATCCACCCATCCATCCATCCATCTATCCATCCACTCATCCATCCATCCATCCATCCATCCATCCATCCTCTAGAAAATGACCAAAGAGATCAAAGACTTGGCTCTACGAAGCTCTTATCATACAATGGGTGAGACACAGCCCCTGTCTTTGTAGCATAGAGAAAACATAAACGAATAATTGAGGCCAGTGTGAAAAGTACAATAATGGGCATTCACATCAGATGTCAGAGTGGGCCCCCAGGAGCGTGCTAAGCTTAGTCTGAGGATTAGAGGCTTGCCTGGGTCTTCCTAGGCAGCAGCCCTCTGTGTGGTTTCCTGATCTTTACGGTGCCAGGTGATAAATGGGCGACGGAGCAGACTCATGATTCAACCCAATTTTTCCAACACCAAATCTAACACTGTGCTCTGGAAAGTGGCGCAGCTTCTAATCACCCCTCCAGACATGTCGCTAGCTGCAGCCGCAGAGGAAGGATTGCTTGTCGCAAATGCTCATTTTGTACCTTTGCTGAAGGACGGATGTGATCTGCTTGCAGAAATTCTCTCCATTTTGAGCCAACTCCTTCAGGCTCTTGTAGACTTTATTGTACTGGAAAAAAAATGAGAGGAGAATTATGAGCACCTCCATAGATAGCATACCCATAATTCAGAACGCTGCTGTCGTGATGACTGCCACTGTAAAGGACTGTGTGGCTGGGGGGGGGGGGGAGGGCACGCAGTTTGTGATGACTTCTTAACTAAACATTAAGTCTCCTCTGGCTGGCTATGAAAAAAGTCCAGGCAAATTTTTCCCAAACTGAAGCTGGCCTGTTTGTTTCTGTCTATCTCAGTTACTGTTCTATTGCTGTGAAGAAATACCGTGCCCAAAACTACTTCGAGAAGAAATCACTTAATTGGGAACTTGCTTACAGTTTCAGAGGGTAAATCCCTGACCATCATGGTGGGAAGTATGGCAGGAGGCAGGCAGGCATGGCCCTGGAACAGAAGCTGAGCTTAAATTCACAAGCAGGAGGGAGAGAGGGAAAGAGAGAGAGAGAGAGAGAGAGAGAGAGAGAGAGAGAGAAAGCGAGCCAGCCTGATATGGGATTTTGAAACCTCAAAAACCAAACATTGAAATACAGGAGCCTATGCGGCCACTCTCATTCAGCCCACACACTGTCCTATCAGACACAAGCAACCCAACAGAATCTAGTTTTGGAATTTGGCTTTCTGGTGTGGGACGGCTAAAAGCATACTCTACAGTGCACCACACCACCACCGTGTTGTTCCCCCAACCTGAGCACACGACAAGCAAACAGTACAAGTTGTCTAAAAGAATCTGAAATTGAAACTGAAAACACTTAAAGAGCCAAAACTTTTTGAGTTCTGATTTAGTGCTATAAACAGAAAATTTCACGCTTGATTTAAATGACGAGTCTCAGTCAAAACACAGGCATGATAAAAATCTTGTGTGAGATCATCTCCAGGCTTTGTGTATAGAGTTATGGGGAATATAAATGAATTTCGTGTTTAATTTTGGGTCCCATTCCTAAGATGTCTTATTATATATTCACAAAACTACAAAATCAGAAGAAGAAGAAGAAGAAGAAGAAGAAGAAGAAGAAGAAGAAGAAGAAGAAAAAGAAGAAGTTCTAACTCAAATGCACTCTTAGCTTTCTGTACATTATGGAGCATTGTATGCTTCACAAAGATCATGGTCATGTAGGAAGTAATGACACATACCTACACACTCATCTAAATTACAAAGACATCAAACTTCTAATCTGCTCTTTCTGAGCAACTGTTTTCTCATTTTCATAATTTCTTTGGTTATTCTTGGACATTTATTCTTCCATATGAATATTTATCTAATTATGAGGTTTTGGAGGTTTTTTTTACACCCCTGTCAGAATCCTAATCAAAACTGTATTATATGTGTGTTTATATGAATTAGAAGAAATTAACTTTTTAAAATGGTATCTAGATTTCCCATCCAAGAACACAGTGAAAGTCTTTTTATCTGTTTAAATCTTAGTTCATGCCGATAAAACTTAATAAAACTGCAGCTCTTTTATTTGATTTATTTAGAAATAGCTCCTGGGATTAAGCTGTATGTTTTTATCATTTCTCCTGTCTGCTTATAGCAAAGCAGAAACAAAGGCCCCACAAGGAACTCAGGGTCCTTGGGCAAGCTAGATTTGGCTGCTTCCTTGCAGAGTGGGGTTTACTGCTCTCAAGCAAAGATAATCTAGGGTGGAACCAACAATACTGACTCCCCCCAAGAAGTCAATGAAATGTATCTTAATGATAGTCTGCTATTCTCATAGCTAGGTGTGTTGCCCAATAGCCATCAGCTGGAGAGAGCAGATGCAGAGACCCACAGCCAAACACTCGGTGGAGCTTGGGATACTCAGAAGACACAGAAGAGGGAGAGGAAGGATTATAGGAGCAAGAGTTGGGAAAGTAAACCAAGAGAACATGGCCCATGAAATCATCTAAGCAGGGCTCACAGGGGCTCGCAGAGACTGAAGCAGCCATCTTGGGGTCTAATGGGTCTGTGCTAGGTCCTCTGCATACACTCTGTGTTTGTTTAGTTTGGGGTTTTTGCGGGACTCCTAACATTGGGAGTGGGGGTGTCTCTGGCAGTCTTGCCTGCTCATGGAACCCTTTTGCCTCGTCCAGCCTTGAACTGAGGGTTTGTGCCTAGTGTTACTGCATCTTGTTATGCCATGTTCAGTTAATATAATTAGGAGACCTGCTCTTTTCTGAAGGGAGATGGGGAGGCAGCAGATCTGGGGGAGGGGAGGAGGTGAGGGGGTCACTGGGAGGAGAGGAGGGAGGGGAGGTTGCAGTGGGAATGTATTGTATAAGGGAATAAAGACAAAGAAAGGAATGGACGCATCAGATTCCATCACCTGAGGACAGCCTTCCCAGGCAGCCTTGCGGTGAGAATAGGAGACTGTGGAAGCATGGGAAGAATGGCTTCCCCATGATTACTCTGAATAACAAAATCACAGAACAAGTTTCTATACCTTGGACTCTTGGAGGTCACTGCAGTTTTTGATGTCTTAGGCCTTCAAAACCCTGTATGACATCTTTTACATTGTCTTCTTGGGAAAAGCTTTGGGAGGCCAGGACATTCTTAGGGGTTAATACCTCATTGTCCTCAGGTCCAGCAACGGAGCTGTGTGGCAAAGCAGATTATCTGTCATCTTTGTCCCTTACAAGCTTCATCTCAATTTAGTTTTTTTTCCTTAGATTTATTTAGTGTGTTGTTTTAAATGTACAAATGTTTGGCCTTCAAACATGCACTGTGTGCACACCTGGACTATGGAGGTCAGAATAGGGCATTGGAGCCTGGGGAACAGGAGTTCCAGAAGTTGTGTGTAGTGATATTTTATTTGTATCTTAATAAACATGCTTGCCTGAAGATCATAACACAAAGCTAAGCCACTAGAGGCCAGGCAATGGTGGCACACACCTCTAATCCTAGGACGCGGGAGACAGAAGCAGAAGGATCTCTGTGAGTTCACGGCTACCCTAGGCTACATAAAGTCGATCCAGAAACAGATCCAGGTGGTGGTGGCTCACACCTTTAATCCCGGTGTTTGGAGTCACACGCCTTTAATCCCAGCACTAGGGAGGTGGATACAGAAGCAGTGTGGCTGGGAGGAGGGAGGAATATAAAGGAAAGGGGACAAGCACTGGAGAGTGGAGCCTGAGGTTTGCCTGAGACACAGTACAGTCTAGGCAGTCTGAGGGTTTCCCCTTCAGTCTGAGCATTGGTAGAGGTAACAGGTCTCTCTAGTGGCTTATTGTTCTGCTCTGATTTTTAGCTTTAATCCCTATATCAGTCTCTGGGTTTTTATTATTCATGCTACAGTTGTGAGCTGCTATGAAGGTTATGGGGATTGAACCCAGGTCCTCTGGAAGAGCAGCTGGTGCCTTTACCTCTGAGCCATCTCTCTAGTCCCCAACTGAACTTGTAAGGAAGGAGGTTTCTCAAGTAAAGCACAGCTACGGCTTTTGTTGGCCCTTGAGTTATTGGCTGCAGGACTTCGGAGATGGTTAATTTACCATATTTTTTCATAGAAAGTATTTATATTGGAACAAGTGGTAAATGGACAACGTTATTCCAGACAGAGAAATGGCCAGTGGTTCTGCTGCCTCAGCCACTCTGGTCAGATCATAGGTTGGAGGGATCCACGCCTCAAGCAAACCATTTCCTGAGTTCCATTGTGTCCAGGCAATATATCATATTGTCCTTAATTTAATGATCAGATAAAGAAGGATATTCTGTTTATAACAACATGGGGTAGAATCTTTATCTTTGACCTTATGTCCAATGTGCTGGAAACTCCGCAACATCCCTGATCCAGACTAAGATAAAGGAGACGTCTATAAATAAAAGAGATGCTAAGACTATTTCTATCTACTCAGCTTAATTTTTTATTTAGAGCCAATGGTCCTGGACCTTTCATTGTGTACCATTTATTCAAACTTGAACACAAACACAAACAAAATTTAAAGTAGACTTCCCTAAAAGTTAAAGAAGATCCTATGATTATCTACTCGTGTGTGTGTCTGTGATCAGAAAACCTCACTGTTTCTGCTCAGAGGCAGTGAAATCTCATGACCTTGACTTTGGCTCCACTGTGTCTGTCCTACTTCCCCTTCCCACCCACTCCCACTCATCAGAGGGGACTTTGAAGAGATCCCATGGGACACGCTATGAGAAGCACAGAAGCCCAACCTCTTACTTAGAGTTAAGACTCAAAGAGCTAAAGATGACCTCATTAGACTATGGGCAGACTTGTGATTAGAAATGTCAGGTAATTAAATCAGCTAGACGATCCATTGGAACCAAATGTCTGCAAATAGCTAATCAATATACTCAAACTAAACTTACTCAGAGAGCTGACATGCCGGTTCGAGAGGCATCGATGGCTTCCTAATGTTATCAAGATGCAAAAAAGGATTCGTTCTGGTGAACGACATGTAGAAAGTATTTGAACTGTCTTTTCCTACCCATTGAGCTTTCATGGATCCCAGCCCCAAAACATTTGCATCCCAGGGAAGAACTCAATGCTGAGTTTATATCGCAACATGAATTTATTTGTACAGGCTCTCTCTCCCCTGGACCATTAATTCACAAGATAACATATTATGTTTTTTAAATTTCCTTTATAAATAATTAGTCTGTTTGTGGCCAGGATATTTAGGACATTTCTGAGACTTAAAAAAAAATCTTTTCACTTTTGCACACAAAGGCATGTCCTATCCAGCACTAGGACAACGTCTCTGATGGACACTCGAAAGCAGATTCTGTTGTTTAAATGCTGCTATTACAAAGCAAACAAGCAAATAGCCCACCAAACAGCAAAGCAAAGCATAGTCGTCTAGGCCAGCAGCGTGTGGCATGACTAGGCCGTTGAACTGTAAACATTATAAAACGCTGCTGTTGAACTTGGCCCATTTGCTCTTTCTGACTTTACACGGTTCGAATGCTTCAAAAGACTAAATTTAATTGTTCTAGGAAAAACTGTTATTACCCTGGATGCTCATACGGGCTTTTTTAAAGGCACACGATGGTGTGAGGGTTAGGAGTTAAAGAAGCCGTGAGGCCTGACTTGAATTTAGCTGCATAAGTTTCTTGGTGCTCTTTCTGTGCCAGGCTGGAGCAACAGATTTCATGTGGGTCCTCCCTCACTGGGGGTGATTGTTTCAAAACACTGCCCCTCAAATTAAGGCGTTACCTGTATTTATTAAAGATCTGTTTGGTATTTGAAGCGCTGTGGTAGGATTTCTTAAATCGTAAGAAACAGCACTAAGGAAACAGTACAGTCTACCATCTCCTCGTCTTTTACAGCGCTAAGACAAAGGCCTAAGAGATGTAGGATGCATGAAGGCACTATGGACTACACATTATCCACGCCGGACTCCAGCTGCCCTTCCCTGTCTCTCAGAGGGGGAGAGGTTCCCAGGAGCCATGGACCTCGGTGCCCTTGGAGTCCGTGCCGGTCACAGCTGGTGAGACAGGCTGAGCCAGCAAGCTAAGACGCTCAGGATGGCATGTGAACCAGGTTACCAGGATGAGGAGCTGCTGGTCTTATTTTGGCAGCTGACTGCACAGGCAAATGGGCTGATGTAGGAGCCAGAGGCATGCTCTAACAGGCTCCTACCTGGCTTCTTTATGGGTACCTAAAATGCAAACATTTGGTGACGGCTCGAAACCTTTGCTCCATTTGCTCCCTACAGTTTTCTTAAGAGGAAGGGAGAAAGTGGTCATTTTTTTCTTTCCTTTATTTTTTACATGATTGAATCATTTCCTCTGGGAAGAACTTGATGCTATCAACTTCCTTGCTCATGGGGTTGAGGAAGATTTCTCGTGGCATAGTCTTAGGTCTCAGTGAGACACTCGCAGGCATCAGGCTTGGAGCCAAGTCTTTTCCTTTCCAAAATCAGAACTTAAAAAAAAAAAAAAAACTTAAGAAATAAGCTCTAACACTCTCAGGATTATTTAAAAGCCGCTCTCTAGCTTCCTTTAGTGACAATCACTTGACAGCAGACTTGGCCTGACTGCTGGAGGCTGAGGGGCCCCCCGTAGCGGTTCTTTCTCTCACAGAAGCATGGCCCAAATGAGAGTTTCAAGGTTTTTTTTTTTTTTTTTTTTTTTTTTTTGTGTACCAAACCCGCTTTCAAAGTTCAGTAAAAATATCTCACAGATTATTATTTTCAAATGCAAAAAGGAAAACACCACAGGATTCCAAAGAAACGGAACTACATTGATATATATGTATATTTATAAAAATATTTTTAAGCTTATGATATTAGGTGGATGTTTATATGCACATACTAAATAGCAAAGTATGTAAATAAGGCTGAGAATAAGCAATACTCTGACATCTATAATAACACTGTTATATAAAAAAAGATCTGTGCTTTTAATTGTTTATACAGGCCTAGATACTGTTAGTAGTATTGGATACTCAAAGTTGAAGAAAATTCTACATTTTAGTTAGAATCGTATAAATATACATCTTTGCCCCATTTATTTGTTTATTTGATTTTGCTCTTGACCTACTGAGATTGATACTCAAATCCATTGGTGTGGACCAAGTTAAGAATTACAACTTAAAACCAGGTGGTAGTGGTCCACACTTTTAATCCCAGCACTCGGGGGGGGGTCAGAGGCAGGCAGATGCCTGTGAGTTCAAGACCAGCCTGGTCTACAGAGCAAGTTCTAGGACAGGTTCCGAAGCTACAGAGAAACCCTGTCTCGAAAAACCAAAGGGGGATAAAGAGGTTTAATTGTGTTTTGTGCAAAGCTAGGGCCTTTTGGGATGGATATTTTGGTAGTCAGTGGGAGCTTTGGGGTTTCTATAAAAGGTGTTCTTTCCTAAAACATTCCTCTGAAATCCATGTCCTCATTTTAGCATGTTCCCCACTGTAGAGCATTGTTCCCCCTAGTACAAGCCGAGCTTGTACCAGGAAGTCAACTTGAACATTTGATAAAGATGGAACAATTGCAAATAAATAAATAAATACTCTGTGACTTTAGAGAGTTTAGAAGTTCAGGCTGAAGGGATATCCGCCTCCTCTTGATTCCCGGATACCTTTGGTGGCAATGGGCCCATAGACATTGCCTTCAGTCATGGGCAAGCACAAACATCCTCTGGGATGCTCAGAATAGGGTAAGGCATCACCTAGCACCCCAGGAAGTAGAGCTTTGAACTGCCACAGAGGTGAGGGATAGGCTACCTTGGGGGCTGCTTAAAAGAAAACATTTGCCCCTAGTGCTGACTTGAAGATAAGTTTTGCTACCTATATAAAAAAAAAAGGTGGTAGACATTCAATCTTTCTTTCTTTCTTTCTTTCTTTCTTTCTTTCTTTCTTTCTTTCTTTCCTCTTTTAAAAACTAAGTGCTCTTTCCTTCCTCTCTCTCCCTTTAAACTATTATATTATCTTCGCATTGACTTTCTTTCTAAATAGTGGGTACCAGGTTTTTGCATCAATGTATCCCATCCCTGTCCTACCTTACCACCCTGTACCAGGGAAAAACATCACCAGACATCCATAGTGAGACAGGAGAAGATTTAAAAATGTCATAGGGAGCAAATTCAGAGAAAGAAGAATGGATTTCTCTCGAAGATTATCATTAACCACCAATGCAGAGGAGACTGAGGATGGGGTGTAGTGGGGGGTGGGTCACTCAGTATCATCACGCAAGCACAACATTGGAAGGTTTCGTCATTAAGCGTATCTTCTCGTGCTCACTGGGGCTGGTGCTACAATCTACTAGACAGACGGTTGCCTCACCAGTCACGTGATTCTTGAACTCAATTAGCATAGTAGCAGCTACAGTTCTCTCTCTCCCAAGCCTGTGCTCTCCTCACCCTTTGGTTGACACCCTTTGGTTAAACAAAAGGAAAGCAGGAGGCAGCAGCCCTCTGCTGGTCTTAAGGCTTCTTTACAGACTCCCTTGCTTTACTGGCTTGTTTTTAGTAAAATATTTGAATGATTTTATTGACTTACAATGGCTACAATTCCTGGCTTCTGAATTCACCAAATTCAGCTTCCCAACAATGCTTACTGGGGTAAGACATTTGAAATTTCTCCATTACTTTGGTTTTGAGATAAATATATCTTCCCTTTATTCCTATTGCATTCTGTCTCCTAGGTCAAATCTCTGCCACTACTGCTGATGACCTTGTTGTGTCTTGGACTTTTGATCAATTTTGTATTTGGGAGGAAGCTCTCAGGACTGGAGCAAGCATACTGGCGAACTGTCCACCAGGCTGACAGAAAGGGTGTCTGTTCTGTGTCCTGTAGGGCTTAAGATAGCAACTCTTAAATTGTTGGATTAAAAAGTGGGTTGGGATGAGGGACAGGGAGGCAATTCCTCCTTCCTTGATTTGATCTCTGAGCTAAAATGCACTATAGATAGTCTATGTACTCTCATATCTAGCCGACACGAGATGTTGGCACTGTTGGTGTGTGCCTTAATGCTACTTCTCAAAGAGCCCCGTCTGAATCAGACTCAGATGCGATCCACTCATCCAAACCTTTCCCCATCAATTTGAGAATGAGAGACAGCTAGGACTGCCACTTTTTTGAGAAAGCTCTATTTTAAACTTGACTGAAGAAAAACTACAGACTTTTTTGTACCTTTGCCAACATCTAAACATGCCTAGTTTCTGATTGTCTCGAATTTCTCTGCCATTAAACACACACACACACACACACACACACACACACACACACACACACACCCCACACTTGTCTACTCACCGAGCAATCCGTCAGTGGGTCCCTCATGTTGAAATGCTCTTTGCTTTGTCTTTTAGCTACGCTACAGCATTCTGGACGCTGCAATCAATCAGATTGGGTGTGTTCTGGACTTCCGGGATTCAAAGGGCTTAGAGTACGTCAGGCCTTGTCAAACACACCAAGGAGGAAGTTCCAGCCCTGGACTTTCATCCAGTTTGTTTCCTGAAAAAGCAAAGCACAGCTTGGGGTCAAAAGAGCCCCTGGGAGATGGTGAGAACCAGTTCAGCAAACACTCACAGGGCAGGACACTGAGGCCCTGAGGTGTAGCCTTGAGAAGAAGCCCAGAAGCTATGTGGCATTCCCCCGTGATCTGGACGTCCAAAATGCTGGTGGGAGCTCACATTTTTCCAGCTTGCTGGTCCAGTCATGGCTTAGAGTTTCTGTGTTTTATGTTGCTCTGACCTTTGGAAACTATACATGCTAGATAGGAGAAAAGTGATTGCCATAGCTGCTTTTCACTCTCCAGATGATGGGAAAAGGTTTGCGTGAGTACATAGCATCCTACTGGGATCCAGATGGAGCTGTATAATGGTTTTCTCAACTTGACGAGATCTAGAATCATCTAAGAGACTAACCTCTGAACCTACCTGTGAAGGAGCTAACTGAGGTGAAAAGACCCACCCTAAATGTGGGCAGCATCCTCCCATGAGTTGGGTCCTACCCTTGAATAAAAACGAATGAGTGGAACACTAGCGTGTTAGCTCTCTGCGACCTGACTGCAGATGCAATAGGACCAACCCCCGCCCCCCTTTCCCTGCTGTGATGGACTGGATGGTACTTCAAACTACAGGGCCTAGATAAACCCTTCCTCCCTGCCTTTGTCAGGAATCTTGCTGAAGCATTGAGAACAGTAACTAATACCGGAGGTTAATTCCCAGGAATGTCAAATCTGCCCAGAGCCCTGACTTTAATATGTAAATTAATGACCCAGACCCCCCCCCCTCGACACACATATGATGTACCAAACCTCTATTTCTCCTGCCCCAAGCCACTCAGAGCTAGTACAAGCCTTATAGAACTGTTAACACTGAAGTGTCCAAAAGAGATTCTTAGGAAGCAAGACATTCAGGAGCCACCTCTCCAGGCCTAATTGAACCCAGATCCCCATTCTCAGCCCAGCAGAACCAAGAGGCTAGGTGTTGGTCCGGACTCCAACTCCCAGATGCCAAGCGCTGATCCCTCCCACAGGGTATTTAGGCAGTGCCTAGAGAAGGAATGCTGGGTTTGGGTTTGCCTGTGTGCCTTCCCTCTGTCTTCTCCCTGCCATGGTCCCTGCCACCATGGCCACCTGGGAGTCCACCATCTATTAAACTCAGGCATTTAATTTGGTTTAATCTGGTCTAATTGGATTCCTTTATGCCAGCGGACAGGCTCTATTAGAAAATATTCCTAACATTCGGTTATCAATTTAAGCCTATGATTGGCCTTATCTTTCATTGCTCAAAAGGATGAACAGAGCTAGAAATCTCTTATCAGTGACTTATTTTATCACGGCTTTTCTACACCTTTTCTAATTGGCAGGCCCTAGGCTTGTGACGGTCATTTGCAAGGCGTGAGCAGCTTCGCTCTGACTTGTGGGCAGGCAAGTGTGGAGCGACATTTGACAGTAGTAGTAGCTCTGTCCACAAAGTTCCCTCAAACACTCCTGGCATCTTGTCTATGTCTGCCCAGCTGCCACCCCTCCATTCATCTGCCTCTTGGGTCCAGGCTCTCTAGAAGGTACCTGTTAACAGTGTAGGAGGAGACAGTAAAAGAGAGTTTACAGGAGCCAAGAAATGAAGTCTGAGTCAGGAGACACCCTTCACATACCGTCGAAATTCTCTCCATCGGTTCAGGCATCATTACTGGGGGTTACGGCCCTGGGCGGCCATCATCATTGGAGGACACAGCCCTGGGCGGCCATCAACACTGGAGGTTACAGCCCGGGTAGCCATCAGGAGTCTGGACTTGTACGGAATACCTCAGCATGATGAAGCTGATCAGCATTAAGAAGCTCACATTCCCATTCATGTTTTCTTTAGTTTCAGAGTTTTCATAAACTTGATGAGCCAGAGTTTCAAGTTCTGGGGCAGCTTGTTATCACCTCTGTATTCCTATTTCATTTTCCTGATTTTTTTCATTTTTAATTGAAAATAGATTTTTTTATACAGTATATTCTGATTACAATCTCCCCTCCCTCAAGTCCTCTCAGATTCTCTCCACCTCCCCTTTCACCCATATCCACACTCTTTCTTTCTCTCTCTCAGCAGAAAACAAACAGGTATCTAAAAACATAATCACAAAATAAAATAAAATAAACTGGAATAGAATAAAGCATACCAACATAAGACAAAGAACCAAAGAAAAGCAGTTCTTTTGATAGTTAAGACTTGATTTTATTTATGTTTTTTTTCTTTATACTCTACAGGTCCTTTGGGCATATATTATGGCTTCAGTTTTGTGTTTTTATGGAATTCCTGAGTGTGTGAATGAGTGGGTTTATGTTTCTTGGCTTTTCCTTCTGTTCCTTTGTTTTGTTCTATTTAATGTGTTAGCTTTTGTTTTATCTTATTATATTTTATTACTACACCTTAGAAGTCTGTTTCTCTTTCTTGCTTCTTTTTTTTCTGCTTTTTTTTCTTTAAAATTTTTGAGGCAAGTTTTCTCTGTATAGCGCTGACTGTCCTGGAACTTACTCTGTGGACCAGCTAGTTTTAAACTCAGAGGTCTGCAGGCCTCTGCCTCTAAGGTGCTGGGATTAAAGGCCTGTGTCACCACTGGGCTCCTGTTTATTTTCTAATGAGAGACAGAATGGGAATGGTTCCAGGTGGGAGGGGAGGTGGTGGAGGTGGTGAGGAGTTGGGAGGAGTAGAATGAGGGAAAACCATAATCAGGACACATTATGTAGGAAAAAAAAATCTATTGATTCATTGACAAATCCTCACGTAAGCTGTCAGTTCCCAGGCTCTCCCTGGACTCACTCACAAGGAGCAGGGCCTTGATGCATCTCTGGTGTAGCGGCTTTCCTGGGGTGCTGGGCTGGCTGTTGCCAGAGGCTGTATCTTATTAACCAGCAGCCCAAGCCTACAGTTCCAGGGTACATCACAGGAGCATAGAGTGTTAGTGGGAGTTCAAGGGCTTCTGAGGCGCAGACTCGCAACTGGCTGCCCAGTCACGTTAGCCATGCCTACCTGAGCAAAGCCACCATGGAGCCCACCCAGATTCAAGGGCGGTGAACTGAAAGTCCCTTGGCAAAAGGACATAGACACAGAGGGCGTTGGGAACTGGAACCACCTTGTCATTCAGTCTATCGCAATGACTGGTCAATATTTGCTCCTCAGGGTCTTGAGAGATAAAGGAAGAAAATACAAGAGGGAATGGCTGTTCTCTATCTTCCATCCCTTCCTGCACTCAGTGGGGTAGGCTTTTGCCAAGAGCACAGACCTTGCATAGGTAGACAAACACAAGAACACATTCCCCAGGGGGGCTGCCTGCAGCTTTGGGAGAGGACATTCCTCTCTGACCTCACAGGCTACTGTGGAGAGTCTCGTGGGGGTGGGGGGAGGAGTGTGGGGTGGGAGTGGTGGAGGGCAGTGGTACAGCAGGTTCTCTGGGGTTTCCTATCAGCTGAGCCAGAGACTGGCTGGTCAACCTTGACAAGGAGGCCAGGTCAACCTAAGTAAGTGTGTTCTGGGCTTTAGGAGGAAGCCACAGACTCTGCCTCCTAGGGATGACTAGGAGACATTGGGAGTTGGAGCACGAACCCCTGAGTCAGCAAGATGGGCAGAGAGCCATATGGCTTTGGAGTAAATGTGAACATGACTCATTCGTTGCCCCAGCTGATGAGAGCTGTACAGATAGCGAGGCATCTCCACGGAGAAGGCTGATCACAGTCTTTCTGGAGAATCTAATGTCTCGGCATCATTTTGACCTCTCTGCTCACGTTGGATGCTTTTGTCTGGATGTCTCTGGATGCTTTTGGCCTGGATTCATTTCCTGGCTTCTTCCCAGTTCAGGTCTTCAGTTTGACTCAAGCTTGGTGCTCCTTCCTTCTTTCTCAGCTGTGCTCAGCAACCTTGTCTACAGAAACCAAACCAAAGGACACATAATGGAAGCTACTGTACAGGACTCTGTCTGCCACACCGTGTGTCTCATTCAAGGGGAGTTGGCTACATTTTGTACATTTATTAAGTACTCAGCTGGGGAAAAAAAAAAACCAGGAGCCCAAATATAGTGAAGGGTAAAGGCAATTCCCCCTGGGATCTCTGTGAGTTCAAGACCAGCCTGGGCTACAAGAGCTAGTTCCAGGACAGACTTCAAAGCTACAGAAAAACCCTGTCTTGAAAAACAAAAAACAAAAAACAAAAACAAAAACAAAACAAAAAAAAGCCCTTCCTAGCAAAAGCATGTAATACATTATGAGTGACCCAAACATTATCAATATATCAATAGAGCCCTAGTTGAACACCTCATGGTAAGAGGAATTCATGTTTAGAGGGGTTACCCTGTGTCCCAGGACGCCCATAAAAAGCTGGATTGTCTGTGTATGCCTGTAACCCCAGTGCTGTGGGATCTGAGGTAGGACAACTCGGGTGGGATGGGGGTTGGGGTCTTATCTGTGGTAGCACAGGGCCAGGCTCAGTGAGAGACTGTGCTAGAGCAGATCACCTGACTTTTCCTCTGGCCTCCTCCAGCACTCACACAGGCTCATGCCTCCCGACCTGGACACACCCCCCACACACATGTGCCACACTATGTTCACACATATACACACAGACATACCCAAAGAAAAGAATGCTAATTTTAAGGTAATTATAACAATTATTGGGAGCAGATATGTATTATTTTGATCCTTAGAGTACATAGGGGAACTGAGGCCTGAAACAGGTAAGTGACTCCCTCAAGGTCACACAGGAAGGGAGGCTACTTTCTCTGACTCTGGTGCTTCCATGTTTTGGTCAACATGCCACTTACTCTCACAATAGGTACTAAGCGTCCAAAAGATGAGGACGTCGTATGACCTTGGAACACAAAAACAAATGGTACAATTCGTGATTCTGGGTTGACCTTTACATAAGGAAACTTGGTCTAGGTGCAT